TTCTTTTTAATGAAGTCAAAAGCTGAGATAATTTAAGGAAAAAAGGTCTTCAATTTTTTTTTTCCATTACCGACTTGTATAGAAGGGGGAATTTACAGTGTATTGGAAAAATTGGCTGATTATAGGTATGGGATGGAGCCAGGTAACTGGAAATAATTTGTACAGGTTTTATTTTTTTCTTTTATTATTATTTTTTTGTAAAAGTGATTTGCTGTCGTTGGTTTTTTTTCTCTGTATTTTTTTCTTAAAATTTTGCTAAAATAATAAAATAATATTTCACAATTTTGCACAAGAGTCTGATGAAAGGGCAGAGGACTTCTCTTCTCCGTGTTTTTGACATGAAACCAGGTCGGCTGGCTTGCATTTTGCCGCAAAGAGTCTTGTTTGCTTCCCCTCGCCCCGCTGACCTCCCCCTGCTTCCTCAGCTCGCTAAATGTAAGGACCAATCTGGTTTTGCGCAGAGGTTAGAGTAAGAAAAACTCCGTGTTTGTGTGTCTCTGTGTGTGTTTGTGTGTGTGTGAACCACCTTCTTTTACAACTCCTCCAGCCAACCTCAAATGGTACTCTGAAAAGCAAAGGCTGCCCCTGTTTCCCCCAGGATCAAACGGGCACCAATTTCTCACGGGCGCTACGTAGAAAGGCCATGGCTGTCGGGAAGGTCTCTGCCCGCAAGGGGCTTCCAAGTCAATCCATCTCCTGAAGCAGCTCGCTGCTTTTGCTCTTTACCATTCCTCTTCGGCGTTTACGATTGACTTTTTATTGATTGATATATTTTTTTTGCTCTTTAGGGAAAAAAAGAGAAGTGTTTTTTGTTTTTGCAAACGTCCCCCGAACCTGCAAGCTTCTCCCCTCCGTGATTCCGTTTCCCCACCCACCCCACGTTTTTCTTCTACTTCTCAGGCTTGTTATTGTTGAAGGCACTTGGTTTCCATGGCGTTTTAGAAAAAAAGATGGTAGTTTGGTTTCGTCACTTGGTTCAAACGGATGACTCCGGCCGGACTTGGGAGGGGAGGGGGCGGAGCGAGGAGGAGGAGGAGGAGGAAAGGGGTCTCAGAGGGTGCAAGGGCCTGGGGGCAGGGGAAGATGGCATCCGGGCATGGTGTCTGAGCGGCCGCAAGCCAATTTTGGACAGACCCGTGTCACCACCGAACGTCCGAACGTTCCCGGAGTTACGTCGATGCATGCAAAGCGAGGAGGCCGCATACCGTGGATCTAGCCTTGCCATGGGGAACTGAAACGAGAATGTCTTCAAGAAGAGCTCGGGTGCCGCCGTGTCCTCCTTCCCGAGGGCAGTAGCGAGGAAAGGGGGCCTGAAAGGGCGGCGTGGGACTCGATGCGGGGGGAAAAACCTCGTGTGGAAGGGGGAAGAACAGAAATGCAGGTTCATCTTCTACCCTGTTTTGCAGTGAGGTGTAGGGAGTGGGTTCTCTCCTCCGTTCCCCCTTCTTTCGCGCTCTCTCTTTCACGAAATCTCTCCGTTGGCAAGTCATTAGGACCTCCATGGCAACAAGCGAGCTATTCATTTGAAACAAAACAAGCCATGACTTTGTGCTTTGAACAAGGAATTCTATAGCTCTTTGACAGAGTTCTTCCAATGAATGCTGTGTGTATGTGTGTATGTGTGTGTGTCTCTCTCTTTCTCTCTCTCTGGTTTCGTTTGTTCGTCTCTAATTAACCACAAAAGCACCTGAAGGTCTCTCTCCTTCACTTCCACGTGGAAAACTGTGGCGTCCGCAGCCCCTTTGTCGCTCCATCTCTTTTGTCTTTTATAAACTCCCAAGGCTCCCCTTTTTATATATATTTATATTTTTTTTAATGTTTGATTCTTCTTCTTCATCGTTTTCTTCTTTTTTTTATTTTTTAAAAAATCGTTTTTGAGTCAGTCAGTGGAGGAATCTTTGGTAGTTTTTGTTTCTTTTTAAAAATGTTCTCGTTTCCTCATGCCCACCTCGTCTGCTGTAGCCTCTGCCGGAATAAGGTCACCTCTGATGACTTAAGACAGACATGAGAAGGAAAACGGGGAAAATCCGTATATGTGGCAGAGTCCTGACTGTGCCCGAAGGTATATCTGAAGAGAGAAGGGGAAAGAGAGTTAGCAAGCGTTGGAGTTAGGCAGGCCTCTGAGGATTCAATGGACGGACAGAATTCTCCCTTTCCTGTTTCCAGTTCGATGCAGTTTTTTGCCCTCCCAAAAATCTGACCAGATTTCAGACGCATTCCTCCTAGAAAGCACATTTTCCTATGAAACTGTCCTTCCATCACTGCTAGAACTATAGTCTTTCAGTGCAGAATTTGCTTGATAAATTCATTATCCTCCTCCCCTTTCAATGGTATGAGCTGGAGGTTCAGTTGCTAACAAATCAGGGCCAGCTTACCCATAGGCACTAGGGGCGCGGGGAACCCAGGCGCTGGACTCTCAGGGGCGCCAGGCTGAGAGTCCGGGGCCGAGATTTGGAGTCCAGGGATCAAAGAGCCAGGCCAGCCGCTGCCGAGTGGAGCAGAGCCCGTCAGAGCACCACAGGTGTTTCTGCTGCGGGCACTGAGGCAGCTGGCTGTCTCTGCCCTTCTGAGTGCCTGGGATAGGTGGGCCGTGGAGAGGCCCACCCAGCGCCTGCAAGCTGCTCACACAAGGCGCGCAGCTTCCCTCCCAAGCCTCTGGGGGGGTTGCTCTCCTCTTGCAGCAGCATGGGAGAGAGTTGTGTGACCCCCGAAAAGTTCAACAACTCTGAGCTGCCCCCATAAATTGGGGGTGCTGGGCAGTTTTTTGCACCCCGGTGCCGCATAAGCTAAAGATAGCCCTGCAGGGGCTTGGACTACATGACCCTCGCAGTCCCTTCCAGCAATTCTATTTTTCCAGTTGTGCATCTTGTTCCGTAATGCCATTAACCAGAACTGTATTTTTCTCCTCCTTTCTGGCTAGTTCACCCTCAAGAGCAACCCACAGCTTCAATTCAGTGCTGGCCTGAATGTCGCGTGGGGTTAATGACAAACGAGCAGCGTCCTTGGCTAAAGGGACAGAGCGGTTAGCCACTTAAATTGCGATTAAGGGGCTGCTTCCCCATTTGCAAGTCTTCTGTTCCAAAGGAAGCAGTCAGGAGACATTAAGCCTCTTACACATTTCATGCTGTAATACGAGGAGATGTGCACGGGAGAGCGAACCGGAGAAATGGGAGCAATCTGCCATAGCGTTTTAATGTTCTAATGCTCTGCTGAATTATAGCGCTTTAACCTGCTCCGAGACCTTAGGGTGAAGGGCAGGAAACAAACAAACAAACAAATATTGATCTTCTGAAAACTAAGGCGTAACCCATGGGTTGGCAAACTAAGGCCCAGGGGCCGGATCTGGCCCAATTGCCTTCTGGATCCAGCCCACGGACAGTCTGGGAATCGCCACGTGGATCAGCGTAGGGATTCTGTTCGTTTGGGCTGCTCCATTTCTCTCCCTCACCTGCATCGCAGCGCTGCCTCCTCCCTCCCTCCTCCTGGCTTCTCCTTGCCCTGCCTAGAGGAGGAAGGGGGCCGGGCAAAGCTGGCTGAGCACCATTTTGAGCAGCCCCTCTCCAGAGCCAGCCCTTTTGCACCGCTCATCATCCCTCCGCTGCCACCACCGCCAGCCCCTGCCACTCGCAAGGCCCAGGTAAGCAGCCACCGGGGCTCGTCCGGTGCTGTGGAGAAGAAAGGGGAGAGTCGTGGGGGTGATTTTTTCTCCAAAATATAGTCTGGCCCCCCACAAGGTCTGAGGGACAGTGGACCAGCCCTCTGCGGAAAAAGTTTGCCGAACCCTGTAACCCATTGCAATTGACTCAGTGGCACAGCACATCTAAATAGGGACTGGATGGGGTGCAAGGGGCAAGTCCCCAAAGGGGGCGCGACACGGAGGGAGTCCGCTACAGCACCGGCACAGGGGCGCCCTCACACACCCCAGTCCAGGAGAGTGGGTGGCACAGCCTCTCTCTGTCCTTGGGTCTTGATTCACCCTGGGAAGGGGGGGTGCGGCTGGGGGTGCCAGGTGGCGGCAGGACACACAGAGGGGGATCTTCATCCTTCAAGCTCTCCAGCTCCCACTGCCAACAGGGCGCAAGGGGTGCCTCTGCGGGGGTTGCCTAGTATGTGCCCCCCCCAGATTGTACGCCCTGGGCTACAGCCCCCGTGCCTCCCAAGCTACACCACTGAATTTACCTGTTCCTTAGTAGTAGCTTATATTTAGAATACGCAACAAGCCCTCCTGTTGATCATGGCTTATTTATTGTGCCTTCCTCTAAGCCCGTTTTTTCTTCCCATCCCAGATAAAAGCATTTATTAATTGCAGTTTCTACCCATTTATTATAGCTCATATATTTTGCTTTTTTTTTTTTTTTTTTGCAAAACGTCAACTTTTTGCCACGTTTATTTTCAGGATCGTCGCTCTTGTTGTTTTACAATATTTTCCAGATCCTCCTGTTCATTTCCATGGATGCAGTCTAGAAATAGGCTCCTGTGGTTATGCTTAAGGGTTCGAACTTAAACTGGCTACTGATTAGTATCTGGGCCCAATTCAAAGTGCTGGTTTTGACCTATAAAGCCTTAAACGGCTCAGGACTGCAATACCTCAAGGACCACCTCTTCCCATATGAACCCACCTGGACCCTGAGATCATCTCCTGAGGCCCTCCTTCATTTGCCTCCTCCTAGAGAGGTCCGGAGGGTGGCAACATGAGAACGGGGTCTTCTCTGCGGTGGCTCCCCATCTGTGGAACGCTCTCCCCAGGGAAGTTCGCCTGGCACCTTCATTATACAGCTTTAGGCGCCAGGCAAAAACGTTCCTTTTTAAGCAGGCCTTTGGTTGATCTTATTGAAATCGAACACCCTTTTAGAATGTGGCACTTTTTTTGGAAGGGTGTTTATTGGGTTATTGCTTTTGGTTTGATTTTATATGCTGTTGTCTTGTTGTGAACCACCCTGAGACCTCCAGGTATAGGGCGGAGTATAAGTTGAATAAAAGAAAGAGAGTAAGAGAAGAACTTAGATTATTACATTTACACTGGGGCCTGGGAGCAGATTGTGGCTGAAACGCTGCTGCGAGGACGAGGGTGGATCAAAGAGGCACTTACGATTGTTCACATAGTCCTCTTTTGTGCATTCGCCTTCCACAATCGAGATGTCGTCGATGGCGATGTCGCCTTCGATACCCTTGCCACGGATCCCTTCAAAAACAACCTGCAATGAGATCACATGAGATGCACCTGAAAAAGATGATCAGTGCAGCAGGAGCAACAGAAATAGGGGATCGTGCAGGCAGAGTTGCTTCCAACAGATACAGGGCCAGTTGAATCTCCTATGACTACTATATCTCTCCTTTCTGAATGTTCGATAATCTGTTATAAGAAGGCATCATCCACAGTTCCTTCTGTTTCTTTACATTTCTTTACTATGTACCATATGTGGTGGAAATGCAAAAAGATAAAGGAATTTTGGGACATGATCGACCATGAACTAAATTATTTTAGTTAACCTTCGCCAAAAATCCAGAAGCCTTTCTCCTAGGTATTATAGGCGTAGATATACCGAAAGATTTGAGGATGTTATTTACGTATGCAACCACAGCCGTGAGAATACTATTAGCCCAATGTTGGAAAGGAGACAATATACCGACAAAAATGGAATGGCAGGCAAAACTAATTGAGTACACTGAGATGGCAAGACTAACAGGGAAAGTTAGGAATCATGACGACCAAACACTGAACACAGAATGGGACAAATACAGACAATACCTAAAAAATCATGGTAAACATCTGAAATTTTTGGCAGGCCTTGAATGACTCCTGCAAGGTGACATAACCTATGCATATATTGGATAAATATAAACTAGACGTTATTCAATATGCAGTTAATATAGAAATATAGAGGACCCACGTGGAGGGAAGCCTTAATACTTTACTATATACCGTATTTTTCCATCTATAAGATGCCCCCATGTATACGATGTCCCCTATTTGGAGGGACTCAAATTTAAGAAAATGGTATATCTGTGTATAAGACGCCCCTAATTTTTGACATTATTTTAAAGGAAAAAAACCTAGCCTTATACATGGAAAAATATGGTAATTTTATTTCATTTTCAACATTTAAGTATTTTTTTAACGTTTAAGTATTTTTTTTCCTTTTTATGTATATTTCTGATGGATAATGATAATTGTGATGTATACTAAAAAATCTATAAAGATTAAATGCAAAAAAAGAAGAAGAAAAGAAGGCATCATCCAAGTCTTCAGACTGGCTTGGAGATCCATCACAGACCCCCACAGTAAGAGAACAGTTGTTTCCCACACCTACAGGTTTCTCCCATATACTCTCAATTTGCCTTCCATGCTCCAGGTCATGGATTTCTTCATAAGTGTACACATCCTTTACATGCAATGCTACTCCTCCCCCCTTCCTGTTTGGTCTATTCCTTTTGAACAGGTTATACCCCTTGGTTTCTTACATTTCAGTCATGAGTTTTATCCCACCAGGTTTCAGTAATGCCTACCAGGTCATATTTGCCATCCTGAATTAAAAGCTTGGATTCGTCTTGCTTGTTTCCCATACTCTGTGCATTAGTATAGAGACAACTGAAACCATGAGGCAACTGCTGTCTCTGCTCCTCTGGCTCCGAATCAGTGTCTGAGATAAGGGCAAGGAATCAATTTTGCAGCTCCAGGGACACAGCATGGGTCCTGACAGTCCTGCTTCTGTGTGTCATATTCCTCCATCACCTGGATGGGTGATCTTCCTTCTCCCTATGTGCACCCCTCATGTCATCTGGCCCAATAGCTTGAATTGTGGATAGGTGGGGTTCAATGAGAGCCATCTTCAAATATCTCAAGGGCTGTTACGTTAAAGGTGGAGAAACCTTGTTTTCTCATGCTCCAGAGGGGAGGACCTGAATCGATGCATTCAAATGATAGGAAAAGGAGATTCCAACTAAACATTAGGGGAAACTTTCTGATGGCAAGAGCTGCTTGCCATGGGATGGAACACCTGGGAAAGTGGTAGACTCTCTTTCCTTGGAGGTTTTTAAGCAGAGGTTGGGTGGCTATCTGTCAGAGATTCTTTAGCTGTGATTCCTGCAGTGTGGTGGTTGTACTAGATGTCCCTCAGGGGTTCATTCCAACTCTACGATTCTATATTCTTTGTGGTTAATGCATATCTTATGGTGGTTCAGAAAAGGGCTATGTCAGACTGTCAGACTGCGAGACTGCAGTGAGATCTTAGAAGGTTCTTTGGGCAAGGACTGGCACTCTTTTCATCTATACAAAACAGCACTCCAGTAATGTTAAATTCTAGTTTATACTAGGAAATGCTCTTGCTATAATTTATCCCTGCCTTAGCTGGTCATTTAGAATCAGGGATTGCTGCAAAGCATTCATAATCCCCTCTTCAGATGAGAAATGCTTCGCCGATGATATGTGGGCCTGGAAAGCATAAAATAAATCTTGGATGCACTTCAGTGTGCGAATTAACCTATAAAAAGCTTTAATTTCTGTGCTGGAGCAACAGCATTTACTGCAGACAGAGATTCACTCTGATTCACTCTACTTAAAATTAACTGGGAGGTTTACATCCCTTCCCATTTAGGCTCTGAAATGCAAAATAAAGTTTGGTTGGCCCAGGAGCTGCAAAAAAAGGAAAGAAAGTAATTTAAAGTTCCAGCTGTGCTGACATTTATTCGGCTTTATTTGTTCAGCGTTTTCACGGCCCTAAATTTGTTTTATGCTGTAAAATAAGAAAAGGAGGGGCAGGGGAACCAGGGAGGCAGGAAACTCCAGGAGCGAATGGACAAGTTGAATGATTCCACTGAAACAGACTCTCGCTAGTCCTGTTCATGGGGAAAGTAAGAAGGACAGGGCATTGGAGTTAGCAATGAGTTGTGCAAAAGCTATTTACATCACAGATGCATCCGGGGTTGGGGGTTTTTCAGTGTGGGGGGGTTATCTTGGGAATGGCAAAGTTCTTGGGGTACACTGCATAGACTAGAACCCCATGGGACTCACATTCACTATCTCCCTGCCCTCTCTATACTTGTACGCAGTTTCCCTCTTGGTCTGAATGTCCCCCTATCAGTATTCATTGTGGTTTTCATTCTGCAAATGACACACAATTGATTATTGCCTCCCCCCTCTGCAATTTGCATTGTGTTTCCTTTGCATTGAAATCAATGGGGTGGAGCAGCCTAATAGTTGCACAACTGATGGCGTAATTAATCCTGGGAAATAAGGCGACAGGCGAGAGAGCAAGGTGGAAAAGAGCAGGTTTTGCCAGAAGCCGAATCGCAGCAGAGCGGAAACAGAGCGCCACGCAGCAAATATGTCTCAGAATGGAAATCAGTGCTGTATTACTGTATATCCCTACTTGCAATTCAGTTCTAACCATGGCTACTGAGATGCAAGCCCCACTGAGTTTGAGGTATCTATGAAAAGGCAACATGTTTGTGAGTGCGCCACAGGGACAACTTGAATTTCATGGGATGCCCCTCAAAAGCAGCCAAATCTTCATTTCCTCTGCAACGCGTGAAATCCAGCCTCGTAGCTCTGGCAGGTGCATTAACACAAAAGGATCAATTTTGTTCATCAGCCAAGAGCAAGAAACCAGAACGGATCTATTCAGCCACCTGACCCATTTCAGGAAGCACCTGCCAATCATCTGCAGATGCTCCAGACCTTCAGACCTTTTCAGATGCATATGCAAGAGGGGAGAGAATGCTTTGCCTGGCAATATAAAGTCCAATATTGATGCTTAATCAGCAATGTCATCATATGCAAAAAAAATTAAAAATGCTTTGATCAGCAACCCAAACGAAGAGATGAGTAACACATTATAATAATGGAACTACTGGACGACTGTGAATGTTGGACCTCAATCACCATCTGCCAGTTCAGAAGACTCTGAATTTCATCCATCTTTGGACGTTACATCTAAGACCAGGAGCACGAGTCTCCTGTGCCCATGACGGTCCCAAAGGAAGACGTGTCATTCCAAATTTGAGCTTCAGCACCCAGGAATGTCCTCATGACTTGGGTGGCTATTTAGACACAGACAATGCAATCCCATTACTCAGAAGGAAGGCTCACTAATGGTGAAGCAACTAACTTAGGAGAATATAAGGAGGGTCCTGAAGAAGGATTGGGCCAAAGGGAGACCATCTAGTCTGCAGCCTGATCTCACAGGGACCAAGCAGGTGTCCATGGGAAGCCTGCCACAAGGACCTGAGTGCGAGATCACTCCTCCATGCTTTATTCCCAGCAATTGGTATTCAGAGCTCCCTGGCAAGTGGGTAGGCTTGTAACAGATGGCTATGGGGATTTACTAATATGATGGCCATCTGTCAGGGTTGCTTTAGCTGAGATTCCTGCATTGCAGGGGGTTGGACTAGATGACCCCTGGGGACCCTTCCAAATCGACAGTTCTATGATATGTGATTCCTGCATTGCAGGGGGAGTTGCTGGATTAGATGACCCGCAGGTCCCTTCCAACTCCTCAGTCCTATGATTCTAGAGGACCTTTCGTCCAAGGTTCTCAGGGCAGATTACATTCAAGTCAATAATCTCATGGGCTGTTTATGGCGATAATCAGATTGGAGCTTCGGTTTGTTAAATTGGAGGAAAGAACTGGACACTTGCAGAATCTCAGTGGGATGCCTGTGTCTCTAGCACAGGGGTCCCCAAACTGAGTCCTGTGGGCTGGATAAGGCCCGAGGGACTCGTTTATCAGGCCCACAGAGACCCCCACCGCCCGCTGCCCGCTCTTACCAGCACTGCGCTGCGCGGCTGCCCGCTTCCAGGTCAGAGGAGCACCGGAAATAGCTTGTGCGCATGTGCAAGCGTTGTGCGCATGCGCAAGCATTATTTCCAGTGCACATCCGGGTCGGAGGAGGCCTGTGCACATGCGTACAAGTAATTTCCAGTGCTCTCCGACCCGGAAGTGCGCCAAAAATAGCATGTGGACATGTGTATGGGCATGCGCTCCCCCGCCCTCTGGCCTGCCGCACGATTGGCACTGGAGACACTGGGCTGAGGCACGGTGAGTTTGCTGACCCCTGCTCTAGCACTTGCAATATGGGACATCCAAAGCTCATTGTAGTTATGGGTGACGATTCCTGCCTGGAGATTTCTCTCTTTTGTTCCACCCTGTTTTGGATCCTGCCCCCCAAACCCCAAGAAACTTCAAAACACCGAAAGCGATTTATGAGCTTTTTGCTGGCAGTGTGCTTGCTCCCATGAGTGCACATTCATGCATAACAGATTTTTTAAAAAATAATAATAGAGGAACCTCCTTGGTGCTATGAACCGCTGCTATGTTTTTTTTTGCAGTATAATTGTGATCGTTTTTATTGCGTTTCATATCCTTTTAGTTGGGATTGATTGGAATTGTGCACACCTTAGGCACGTTGCTTGTGCTTTGTGCATGACAGGTCGGTTTTTACAAAGGAGGAAACCAAGAAAACGGGGGTTACATGTGAGACTACGGCCCCCTGACCCTCCTTTCTTCCTCCTCTAAGACAACCATCTTACCTGGAACGAAGTGTTTGGGTGTATATTCACTCGGGCCTGAGACCAATGCTGCCCTTTGTTGCCGCTCGATGACCAGAAGGGGTTTTCTATGGAAGCCTGGTTCTTTAACCGCAGGTAGACATTCAAGGTTCCTTTGGGGGGGAAGCAAAGACACACAGCAGAAGGCAAAGGTTAGGAGGTTGTGAGATGTTGGGTGATGGGATGCCGCAAGAGAAACCTGAAATGGGCCGCTGAGCCAGAGCTCTTGAATCACAGACTCACAGAATCACAGACAGGACCCCCAGAGGCATCTAGTCCAACCCTATGAAATGCAGGAATCTCAACACACAGTTCTCCTCATCCAATCTGAAACCACACCACACCCTGTTTAGCTTCGCAAATGCATCAGCAGTGATTTGAAGACATGTAAGAAGACGCCTGCTTCTTGGGAGAAAAGCAGTGACAAACCTAGACAGCATCTTAAAAAGAAGACATCACCTTGCCGACAAATGTCCGTATAGTTCAAGCTATGGTTTTCCCAGTAGTGATGTATGGAAGGGAGAGCTGGACCATAAAGAAGGCTGATCACCAAAGAATTGATGCTTTTGAATTCTGGTGCTGGAGGAGACTCTTGAGAGTCCCATGTACTGCAAGAAGATCCAACCTCTCCATTCTGAAGGAAATCAGCCCTGAGTGCTCCCTGGAAGGACAGATCCTGAAGCTGAGGCTCCAAGACTTTGGCCACCTCATGAGAAGAGAAGACTCCCTGGAAAAGACCCTGATGTTGGGAAAGATGGAGGGCACAAGGAGAAGGGGACAACAGAGGACGAGATGGTTGGACAGTGTTCTCAAAGCTACCAGCATGAGTTTGACCAAACTGCGGGAGGCAGGGGAAGACAGGAGTGCCTGGCGTGCTCTGGTCCAGGGGGTCACGAAGAGTCAGACACGACTAAACGACTAAACAACAACAACAGCACCTGCCTTATTCAGACCTCAAACCTCCGAGGGCACTTGGTGAAGGCCTCAGAAGCTTGTTCCAACTGACTTGGTGACTTTGCGGAAGAGTAACCCCAGAGAAGTTTGAAAGGAGCTTATCCCCCCAACTCGTGTCTGCCCGGCGAGGCCTTTCATTCCCACTCTAATAAGGAGCAGAGCTTTCATGCATATGGATGTTGCCAGGCAGCCCCGTTTGATCTCCGCAAAGAGCTTAAGAAGGTTTTAAGACGCTGGGGCGCTCGGACAAATGGCGCTCGAGATGCTCAGGCTCCCAGACCTTTTCCCCAGACTCAGGGGGGAACCTTTTGTACGGCAGATGTCAATTCATCTCAGCAAGCTCCCTGCCCTCTTCCAGATCCATTACCCTAATTTAACAGTCTCCAAAATCCTTTGGAACAGATTCCGGCTGGAAGATTTTCGATGACGAATAATCCCAGGCAGCGATGAAAGACGGAGGCAGTCAGTCGGCCAAGACTTGCAATGTGGGCACTGGCGGAAGGAATCCACAGCCAGACCTGTGGCTTCGTGTCCCAGAAAGAGGTGCAGGGAGTGCTTTTCAGGCCCGAGGGCCATATTCGTATCTGGGTGACCTTCTGAAGGCTACCTGCTACTTGTGCCCAGCAGGGCCAGAGGCTGGGTCTGGTTTGGAGACTCCAGCTGGTGCAGAATGTTGATCGGTTGCTGATGAACACAGCACACCGTGGTTAAAACAGCTGCACCAGTTGCACATCCAGTACAGACCTGGGTTCGAATTCCTTGGATTAATTCCCAAAGCCCGGAACAATTTATGTCCGGGGTCTCTCAGGGATCGACTGAACCCTTCAATCCCAACTCGATCTCTGAGATCATCTGCACGAGTTTTGTTGGTCATTCCCTGAGCTGGAGAGGCTCACTTGGTAGCAATAAGAAACTAGTCCAGTCCTGTGGAACTCCCTGCCACTGTGCCTTTTGTGCCAGCTTTTAAATGTCTGCTGAAAACCTTTCTATTTTGCCAGGTAGTTATGAATACAACCTTCACTCAGTAGTTGACTGATGCCAGATTTTAACTCTTTATATGGTTTCTATTGTACTTTTGTTGTAAACAGCTTTGATATATACACATCTATTTAATGATACAGCAGTACAGATTTTTTTATATAAATAAAATAACATAAAATAAATCTGCACAACTTCTTTTCAACTCTACGCTTCTGTGATCCTATGATCTAACAGCTGAAATGTAATGGGATGTCTGGGAACATTAAGAATAAAGGCTGGCCGTGGTGAGAGACAATGGACCTCCCTGGGGCATTTGGCTAAGCCAGAGCTCCCTTCCACCAACTTCTCCACGTCTGCATTCTCTCCGGAGGTCAAGCAAGAGATGTTGAAAAGGGCAAGGCCAGTAGCAATGTTTGCTAAGCAGTCTCAGCTCATCCCCAAAGACCAGGCACTGGAGATGAAGGACAGAATAAAGGTCAAAGGTAGGGGAGAAGAGGAGAGGAGGAGAGGAATCTTCCCTGCCCAGAGAACATTCAACATCAATCGGAAGATCTGGGCAAACGTATCTCGTGACAGCAGTGAAATTAACACGAGTGGCGGAATCAGCTCACCTATGTGTTATTTAACTTATATGCAGAATTCATCATGCGAAAGGCTGGACTGGATGAATCCCAAACTGGAATTAAGATCGCCGGAAGAAATATCAACAACCTCAGTTATGCAAATGACACAATTTTGATGGCAGAAAGTGAGGAGGAATTAAAGAAGCTTTTATTGAGGGTGAAAGAGGAAAGCGCAAAATATGGTCTGAAGCTCAACATCAAAAAAACGAAGATCATGGCCACTGGGCTCACCACCTCCTGGCAAATAGAAGGGGAAGAAATGGAGACAGTGAGAGATTTTACTTTCTTGGGCTCCATGATCACTGCAGATGGTGACAGCAGTCACGAAATTAAAAGACGCCTGCTTCTTGGGAGAAAAGCAATGACCAACCTAGACAGCATCTTAAAAAGCAGAGACATCATCTTTCCAACAAAGGTCCGTATAGTTAAAGCTATGGTTTTCCCAGTAGTGATGTATGGAAGTGAGAGCTGGACCATAAAGAAGGCTGGTCGCTGAAGAATGGATGCTTTTGAATTATGGTGCTGGAGGAGACTCTTGAGAGTCCCATGAACTGCAAGAAGATCCAACCTCTCCATTCTTAAGGAAATCAGCCCTGAGTGCTCACTGGAAGGACAGATCCTGAAGCTGAGGCTCCAATACTTTGGCCACCTCCTGAGAAGAGAAGACTCCCTGGAAAAGACCCTGATGCTGGGAAAGATGGTTGGACAGTGTTATAGAAGATACCAGCATGGGTTTGACCAAACTGCGGGAGGCAGTGGAAGGCAGGAGTGCCTGGCGTGCTCTGGTCCAGGGGGTCACGAAGAGTCAGACATGACTAAATGACTAAACAACAATACAATCTCGGGACAGCAGTGAAATTAACACGAGCGGCAGAATCAGCTCACCTATGTGTTGTCCGTACATGTTGTAATAGAAGCTGAAGCAGTATGCCGTGTTGGTGGCTCCGTAGGGGTTTTTGGGGGGGATGCTGAAAAGAGGACTGGTCAGTCTGGCCCGGTCTCCTTCCTTCCTGGGACTGGAGGCTTCAATGTACATGAAGAACCCTGCAAAGAGGAAACAGCAAGGTCAAGAGGCAAGATGACAGCAGCCAACCGAACCCACGAAAGGAGCTTCTCCTTCTGCCCAGGCTGTAGACCATAATAATAATAATAATAATTTTTTTATTTATACCCCACCCTCCCCAGCCAAGACCGGGCTCAGGGCAGCTAACAACCAATAATAAAAACAAGTTGATTAAAATACAATTTAAAAAGTTTAAATTCCAACATTAAAACATTAGGATGCAGCCTCTTCACAGGAGGAGAAAGGAAAAAGAAAGAGGGGGAGGGAATCAAACTGATTCTAAGCCAAAGGCCAGGCAGAACATCTCTGTCTTACAGGCCCTGTGGAAAGAAATCAGATCCCGCAGGGCCCTGGTCTCATGAGGCAGAGCGTTCCACCAGGCCGGGGCCAGTGTTGAAAAGGCCCTGCTCTGGTTGAGGCTGACTTCCTTAGGGCCCGGGACCTCTAGCGTGTTGCTATATATGGACCTTAAGGTCCTCCGTGGGGCATACCAGGAGAGGCGGTCATGTAGGTACGAGGGTCCTAGGCCGTGAATGGCTTTAAAGGTCAAAACCAGCACCTTGAACCTGACCCTGTACTCCACCGGGAGCCAGTGCAGCTGGAAAAGCACTGGGTGAATATGCTCCCATGGCAGAGACCCCATGAGGAGCCTCGCTGCAGCATTCTGCACCCGCTGGAGTTTCTGGGACAGCTTCAAGGGCAGCCCCGCGTAGAGCGAATTACAGTAGTCAAGCCTGGAGGTGACTGTTGCGTGGATCATAAGCAGGTAAATCAGCGGTTCCCAAACTTTTTGGGGGGTCACCGCCCTCTTGCTTCCATAAAGTCACCCCAGTGCCCCCCTTCCCTATAAAAAGCATTATTCAGAATAGCTCTTTGCATGACCCACAAAGGAAGCTGGCAATGCAATGGAATTCAAAACGGTAGCAATTAATTGCACATATATTCAAAATCCAGTTGAAACTATTCAGTTTAATTCAGGCTTTCTCAAACTTGGGTCTCCAGCTGCCTTTGGACTACAATTCCCATCATCCCTGACCACTGGTCCTGTTAGCTAGGCATGATGGGAGTTGTGGTCCAAAAATAGCTGGAGACCCAAGTTTGGGAAATTCTGGTTGAATTGATTTAACAAAACTGATGAATTTGATCCAATGTTACCAGCTTTCCAAGGCCTGAAAGAGACTCCATCAGGCAAGGCCTCCTTCCCCACCCTCCAGTCTCTGCTTCTCAATTTGTATTGTATTATTTTATGCACTGTGACTGGCCGTTGTTTTATTGATTGTAGTTTTGAAATTATTTATTGTAATTTATTTATTTATTGTAATTTATTTATTTATAGTGGGTTTCTCTTTAATTTTTATATGCTGATATTATTATTCTACACTATTCTAATGATTGTTGAATGTTGCTTTATTTGATGTAGGTTGCTTATTTTAAAGCTATGTTTTATTATCACATTTTTTGTATCGCATTAGATTGTTATAAGGTGTACATTCTTTGTTTCTTCAGCTTGTAAACTGCCTTGAGTATTGTAAGATAGAAAGGCGGTATACAAATTAAAAGTGATGATGATGATTACTTTATACAAATTCTGAATAAAAATTTACTTGCAAAAAAAAAAAAAGTGATGATGATGATTTAGCAAGGGTCTTAGAGGCCACATTTAACAACTACAGTGGTACCTCATGTTACATACGCTTCAGGTTACAGACTCTGCTAACCCAGAAATAGTGCTTCAGGTTAAGAACTTTGCTTCAGGATGAGAACAGAAATCGTGCTCCAGCGGTGCGGCAGCAGCGGGAGGCCCCATTAGCTAAAGTGGTGCTTCAGGTTAAGAACAGTTTCAGGTTAAGAACGGACCTCCGGAACTAATTAAGTACTTAACCTGAGGTACCCCTGTATGTCAATTTTCGATAAATTCTTAACATGATGGGTGAGCATGAAATGACGCCAGATTCCCAATGTCTAGTTTAGAGTCACTTAGCAGAAGTTTTAAATTGCCACTTCCAGGGTCCCCCTGTCACCCCCTCACCTCTCAGGTCCCAAAGGCCAATTGCAACTTCCTATGAATGTGCAATCAGGACATATTAGACTTAAAAGTTCCTGGCTCAAATGGTAGCATCCTTCCCAGAGATGTCCAGCACATAAGATAACCTCAAGGTTAGATTACTGCAATATGTTATATGTAGGGCTGCCCCTGAAGGCGGTTCGGAAACTTCAGCTGGTGCAGAATTCAATGGCCAGGTTGCTCACCAGAGCAAGACGGTTTGAGGCCCCTCTTCGTTTCCCTCCTCGAGAGGTCCGAAGGGTGGCAACATGAGAACATGGCCTTCTCTGCAGTGGCTCCCCGTCTGTGCAATGCTCTCCCCAGGGAAGTTCGCCTGGCGCCTTCATTATACACCTTTAGGCGCCAGGCAAAAATGTTCCTTTTTAACCAGGCCTTTGGTTGATCTTATTGACATCCAACACTCTTTTAGAATGTGGCACTTTTTTGGGAAGGGTGTTTATTGGGTTATTGATTTTGGTTTGATTTTATATGTTGTTGTCTTGTTGTGAACCACCCTGAGACCTCCAGGTATAGGGCGGTATAGAAATAAAATAAAATAAATAAAATAAAGATGCTCAAGGGACACATTCCCTTAGTGTCTCTCCCAACAGAGTTCATCACCCAGAGTACCCAAGACATTACAAATGGAAGAGTGAAGGAGTTCTTGTGTTTGGTCAAAAGCCAACCTGAGCTTTAGGCCGAGATATGAACTTTACCTTCCTTGGATCCTGACCGGTCAGCGCTGGGCCCTGTGTTTGGGGTGTACTTGGTGTCCCGGAGGATAATGTTTTGCCTCGTCCAGTCAAAGTTGTCCTTCTCGTCTTGGGTGAACAAACAAATGTTGCCGTCTTCAAAGCCGCAGTGGAATTCTCCTGCCAACAGACGGACACCGCATTCGCATGAAAAAAAGAGGATTTCAACAACCGTGTAGCGTTTGGAGCTCATCTTCTCAAGAAGGCTGAATGCGGACAACCCTGAGACAACGCTCCACTTTGGACCTTAGCCCTGGCAACCTCTAGGAGTAGACAGCCTGGGAGGTCAAGCAAAGCTTTTGCCTGCATGCAGGAACACAGAGAACAGGTATGCCCAACTCCCAAGAGACTGCAAACTACTCCCACTATAAAAAAAAATGGCATTAGATTGACCAAAGTTGTTGAGCTTTCCAACAATTGATTGTTGTTGGGCAATCAATCTGGTTCATGCAGTCGACCAGGATCGACCAGGGGCACCCAGCGATCAACCGGTAGATCGCAATCGACCGGTTGGACATGCCTGATGTAGAAGATTTCTTGGTGGGGGCAGGAAGGAGCAGCGGTGGAAGGACGTGGGGCATGGGGTGGAGGTTGTAAAGCAGAGCAGAACATCCCTAGGTAGGTTTAGCTGAAAATTCGTCCGAATTCAATGGGACTTCTGAGAAAACCTGCCTGGGATCGGGCTGCAAAACCCATCGAATGCAGGAGGACTTACAGCTAGGTAAACATGCATGGGATCAGGCTGTAGGTTGCACCGAACTCTGTAGTAGTGCTTTTAAAAGCTGGGAGCAAAAAAAGAAATTAAGAGACTGCACCTAGGATCCTAGGGAGTAGGCTGGCTCTGCTTCTCTTCCCTTGCCCTCAAAATAACCCCAGGGCAGAAGGAGGAGAGTGAGATTGTTCCATGAGGCAAGCACAAATCTTTGCATTTATGGAGGGATCTCCTTAGTGCTATGTCACATTCCTCCTTGCATCAATAAACAGCAGGCTCATAGCCAGCATTGTTTGGGAATAATAATAATAATAATAATAATAATAATAATAATAATATTTATACCCTGCCCATCTGGCTGGGTTTCCCAGAATATCTGGGCAGCTTCCAACAGAATATTAAAATACAATATTATAGAGAGGTTCCGTTCAGCATCTAACTGTATCCCAACACAGACGAAAACCTGTTCCCATGATCTCAAGAACCATCATGCAAAATTTGGTTAAAATCAGTGCTGCTTTGAAAAGTTCGGTCTGCCATCTTGATTCAAAATGGCACCCAACCACATCCCAACATAGGCAAAAAGCTGCTCCCTTGATCTAAGGAGGCAACCATGCAAAATTGGGTCATGACATCTGAAGAGGTATCCAAATTGTTTAGCAAACAGAGAAGCAAGCAACTTCCCTAAGCATACAATAGATTATTTTTATTGATATTTCATTCTAATTAATGCAGAAACCAGGTATTGCAAATACTTACGTAGGTGAGGATTCATTGGGGCTAGAAGGGAAGGAGAGAGAAGATCCTAAAATTAATTAATTTCTGCACATGCTGATGAGAAATTTGCGGCTGATTCTCTGCCCCCTCTAATTATCTTTCCAAATCCACTTAAATTGCATCCTCAGTTCGTTTTATTTAAGGCATTTACATTTATTTATTCAAGACCTCAATTTTTCATACATCTAAATGGTGTGCATACAAAACCACCTACAGAAAACTGGATTTCTGATGTTGCATTTTTTATGTTTTGTCAGTTTAATTTTGTCCAGTTTTTTTATATTAACTTTGCACTGGCCTTATTTCTGTAGAGTGAAAGGCATTACATAAATACTCGTATGACATAAATGCATTACAACGAACATTTCGCCTCCGGTTCAAGTGGGTTTATTTTGTAAGCGTATATTCATGTTTCAGTAAAACAACTTCTGAGATGGAGGGAATGGGGAAGGAAATCCTGGCACTCTGCCTGACTCTTGCTGATACGTCAGAGGAGATTTAATAAATAAATAAGTTCCTGCAAAGGCGTAGGAATTTTATAAATAAAATATAATAAAATAATTACAAAGATAAATGATGTAATGTGACTCCAAGGCTACAGAAGAAGGGAAGATCTCGGATCTGAATATCTGGAACCCATTTGTTCTTCTGCATCCTACTTCAGGGATAGGGGAACGTTTGCTCCCACTCGATGTTGTTAAATGCCAACTCACATTAGGCCCAGGAACCATAGCCAATGGTCTAGCAGGGTGGGGGCTGTAATCCAAAAACATCTGGAAGGCCACAGATTCCCCATCCCTGTTGTGTTTCATGGAAATAGGTTTGAAAAGCAATGTGTATATAAGAGGGTCAGCATCTTAAAAAGCAAAGCAGAGACATCACCTTCCCAACAAAGGTCCGTATAATTAAAGCTCTGGTTTTCCCAGTAGTGATGTATGGAAGTGAGAGCTGGACCATAAAGAAGGCTGATCGCCGAAGAATGGATACTTTTGAATTCTAGTGCTGGAGGAGACTCTTGAGAGTCCCATAGACTGCAAGAAGATCAAACCTATCCATTCTGAAGGAAATCAGCCCTGAGTGCTCACGGGAAGGGCAGATCCTGAAGCTGAGGCTCCAAGACTTTGGCCACCTCCTGAGAAGAGAAGACTCCCTGGAAAAGACCCTGATGTTGGGAAAGATGGAGGGCACAAGGAGAAGGGGACGACAGAGGACGAGATGGTGGGACAGTGTTCTCGAAGCTACCAGCATGAGTTTGACCAAACTGCAGGAGGCAGTGGAAGACAGGAGTGCCTGGCGTGCTCTGGTCCAGGGGGTCACAAAGAGTCGGACACGACTAAACGACTAAACAACATATAAGAGAGTAAGAAGAGCCTGCTGGATCAGGCCAATGGCCCACCTGGTTCAGCATGCTGTTCTCTCGGCAGCTACCCAGATGCCTGCGGAGAACCTGAAATCTGATCATGAATGCAACCCTCCCCTCCTGCAACTTCCCAGAAACTCTAGCCACCAACAGCCCTCCCCTCCACAAATTTGTACGTTCCTGATTTCAAGGCCGCCCAAGGTGGTACCCATCCCAGCCTCCTCTGGAAGCATGTGCTAAGTTTGACTATGCAATGTGTAAAGAAATATGTGGCTTGCCCAAGAGGTCTTTGCAGGCAATACCTCTGCTTCCTTTCTCCAGCCCATCTCATTCACTCGGATTCTCTGTCTTCTCCCAGGCAACTCTTCAGAAGAAGAACCTGCTACATCTGGCCAGCGGCCCATCTAGTCCAACATCCTGTTCTTTCTCTCTCTCTCTTAGCTTTCACATGCTTTATTGAAATTAATTGATAACAAAACGTTCCTGTGTATGATTATGTCCAAGTATACAAATAAAAATCAGTTCAATCTTAGTTAGTCCATTTCACCATTCATTCTTACTAAAGTACATAAGACTTCCTGTCATACCCCCCCCCAGTGTATTTACCATTTCTACTATCTGTTGTACATATACCGTATTTTTTGTGCCACAAGACACACTTTTTTCTTCCTAAAAAGTAAGGGGAAATGTCTGTGCATCTTATGAAGCAAATGCGTGGTCCCTGGAGCCGAATTGCCCAGGGGCAAAAAGCAGATCGTGCTTTTTTCTTTCTTTCTTTTTTTTTTGAAAGAGGGAAAGGGGTGTTGAAACAAAGCCGCTGATAGTTTCTGGGGAGAGAGATAAGGGACGCTAGAGATAAAGGAGGCTGCCTGGGAGGGGGGAGGTAAAGACAGCAAACTTGCAAAAGGGGGAAACAGGAAGACTAAAGCAATAAGGAGAGAAAAATAGAAGAAAAGGAGGAGCAAAAAACTGCTCCAGCTAAGGGAAAGACACTAAGGCAAACAAGAGGGAAGGGAGTGTTGAAAGGAAACAGCTGATCGGTAGGATCGGAAGAGAGATAAGGGAGGCTAGTGGAGGCTGCCTGGGAGGGGGGAGGTAAAAGCCCATGGATCCTCAGGACTTTTGCATTGGGTCACCCCAAATTCACCATCAGATCACATAGCATGTCCATGGCTACAGCCTGCACCAAAAAAATCATGCACCCACTGTTGCGTGGGGCCACAATGGTGCAAAAACATGGTTACAAACCACAGATCCACATGGATCCTCAGGATTTTTGAATTGGGTCACCCCAAATTCACCGTCAAATCACATGTCTGTGGCCACAGCATGAACCACAAAAATCATACATCCACTGTTTCATTCAGAATATTTCTTTTCTTATTTTCCTCCTCTAAAAACTAGGTGTGTCTTATGGTCAGGTGCGTCTTATGGAGCGAAAAAATATGGTAATTATTACTTTGTTCTTTTTATGTTATCTTATAATATCTTTCACCTTTTCATATCTATTTTCCTTGTTTTTTTATTTTATTTTACACCGAGGCCATTCAAATGGTGCCATAGATGCCACAGCTTCCTGTTCTCAAGGTGGCCACCCAGACGCCTGTGGAAATCCAAAGGAAGAGTCTGAGCACAGGAACAACCTCTCCTCCTGTGGTTTCCAGAAACAGGTATTCAGAAGCATTCCTGCCTCCAGCTCTGAAGGCAGAGCATAGACTTCATCCTGGTTGGAGCCACCGATAGCCCTTTTCTCCTCCATGAATCAGTCCAATCCTCTTTTAAAGCCATCTAGGTTGGTGGCTGGGACGCGGGTGGTGCTGTGGGTTAAACCACAGAGCCCAGGGCTTGCAGATCAGAAGGTTGGCAGTTTGAATCCCCATGATGGGGTGAGCTCCCGTTGCTTGGTCCCTGCTCCTGCCAACCTAGCAGTTTGAAAGCACGTCAAAGTGCAAGTAGATAAATAGGTACCACTCCGGCGGGAAGGTAAACGGCGTTTCCGTTAATTAGGTTGGTGGCTGCCACTGTCTCCTGTGGCAGGGAGTTCCAAAGTCTGGCTATGCACTGCATGAAGGACTTCCTTTTGTTTGACCCAAATCTTCCCCCAGTCACCTGCATTGGATGCCCATGAAAATGGCTCCAGTGCTGACCTTTCCGCCTTTATGGATCTGAGCCCGTTATGGATCTGAGCACTGGAGTGCTACCCTGGTCTGAAATTTTACTCAGCAAAACCCCTTTTGAAAGAACACTTTGATTCAGCTGCACTGCCTTTATTCCCCCACCCCATTCCTTTCTCTAAGAAGAATAATCAGCGATTTGCTTCCTGTGTAATTTTCCACGGGAAAAACGTAGTCAATTATTCAAGATCGCCCTCTCCGTGTTTGCTAACACAATTACTTCTCATTTGCTGAGGAACGCACTTTCTCTCTCCCTTTTTTGGCATCCTCCTGACTCCAAATGAACCCCAATTGTGGGGGGGACAGCGCTGAGCGACACTCGCTTTGTCGCCAAACTTTGTGGCTTTCAGGGAAGCTATCATTAATGGCGGACCTTGAATGGCGCAATATTCATATTGTTCTCAGTGGGGCGGCCAGGGCAGAACGGGTGGGCTGGCAAACAAAGCTCACTTCCCCTGTGAGTGACAGGAGCACAGAAACAAATCCAACATGCTGGTTAGTTATTTGAATGTCAGGGAACGGCAGCGAAAAGAGAATCTGGAAATGTAGGTGGGGGGAGATGCAGCTCACGGTGATTCTTCCGCTGTCCCTTCTGAAAGTTCTGGCACCGAATGGGTGGGAGAGACGGTGGCAAACCAGTGCAGGGTGGTGGATAGAGCACTGGGCTACGACCTGAGAGAGACCCGGGTTCGAATTCAGCCTCAGCCTTGCAGCTCACTGCAGGACCTTAAGCCAGTTACTGCCTCTGAGACCAGCTTACTCCGCAGATTTGTCGAGAGGAGAAAATGCAAAGCAATTTCCCCTAACAGACACTTCTCGGTTTGGCAGTTTCACTAATATGTGCATTTCTATGCAAATATATGCATTTCTGTGCACATTACTAGGCTGGGGAAATGCAGTGCAAAATTCAGAGAGGAGAAAATTTGGAAATTTGCCTCTGTTTCAGCTGGCACATCATCTCAGAAAGTGTGAATTACGTAGATATGCCTTTCAGTGTGAAATGGATCGATTATCTCTCCCATCCCTAAGGTAGTGGAGCTGCAGGAGCAACTACTTCATCCTAAAACAGGGACGTCCAACTCCCAATAGACTGCGATTTACTCACAGTATAAAAAAACTGGCAGTGATCTACCCATGGATGGATCAAAGTTGTTGAGCTTTTCTTAGCAAGCAAATGAATGAATGGAATTTAATCTATGAATGAATGGAACTGAATGAGCATTGCGATATACACAGAACATAATAAAAAGTCAATTGTGTAAAACACAGCTTGTTGTTCAGTTGTGTCCGCCTCTTCATGACCCCCTGGACCAGAGCACGTCAGGCCCTCCTGTCTTCCACTTCCTCCCGTAGTTTGGTCAAACTCATGCTGGTAGCTTCAAGAACACTGTCCCACCATCTCATCCTCTGTTGTCCCCTTCTCCTTGTGCCCTCCATCTTTCCCAACATCAGGGTCTTTTCCAGGGAGTCTTCTCTTCTCATGAGGTGGCCAAAGTCTTGGAGCCTCAGCTTCAGGATCTGTCCTTCCAGTGAGCACTCAGGGCTGATTTCCTTCAGAATTGAGAGGTTTGATCTTCTTGCAGCCCATGGATCATTGCCTTGCCGTGGTGAAGGGGCTTGAATAACTCAGAGAAGCTATGAGCTATGACATGTAGGGCCAACCAAGATGGACAGGTCATAGTTGAGAGTTTTGACCAAACGTGATCCACCTGGAACCGGCAAGCCACTCCAGTATCCCTGCCAAGAAAATTCCATGGACAAAGACCAAACACAGCTTAGGGTCCTGAATCTGCAGTCAAATAGTGGACCTTAATCTTGGGGGGAAGAATATCCCTGAGGGACCAGAGATCTACCAGGAACACCCCGCAATCTACCAGTAGATCGTGATCTACCTGTTGAACGTGCCTGTCCTAGAACATCCCTGGTCACGATGCAACTTTGTTATGCACCAATGCGTAAGAGTCAATCCCTGAATGCTCCTCCCCACTACTCCTTATTTCTAACTATAAAATCATAGAATAATTGGAATGTACAGTTGGAAGGAAACCTGAGGGCATCTAGCCTAACTTCCTGCAATGCAGGAATCTCATCTAAATGACAGATGGCCACCCAACCTCTGCTTAAAAACCTCCAAGGAAGGAGAGTCCACCACCTCCTAGGGAGATGATTTCACTGTCGAAGAGCTCTTGCTGTCAGAAAGTTCTTCTGAATCTCCTTTCTTGTAACTTGATGTCGCTGGTTCGAGTCCTGCTCCATCTTCCACCTGACAGACCTTGAGATATTTGAAGACGGCTCTCATTTCTCCTCTCAGTCCCCCCTGCAAACCATTGTCCTAACCATAAACCAGCTTTGGCAAAACGGTGGCATGCAGATAAATAATAATTAGAATCTGGATGAAGTAATCCACTTATTCCTGCTTATTTCCGGAGCAGATCTGATTGCGTCCACCTTGAGTGTTTGGCGTTGTCATGGAGATAGCCTCAGACAATACCTGGATAACAGGCTCATTTGCAGCCGTGAGTCAAGAGGAAGGCAGGCGATATCGTAAACATTTACCACGCAGGAGTTCAAACGTTAAAGCAAGACGAATGCAGGAGTTAAGGAAGAATTTACTACCCAGTTGGTAGCATGACTAATCTTTCGCTCTCCCCCAACTCCTCTCTTTCCAGCCTGCGGCCAAAGAGCCATGAATCAGACTATTAATATTCTCAATAAACTTCTAATTGCATGTGTGGCACTTTGCACAAGCCAAAATGACTCATTCTTTGAAAAAGATGTTGCCCTCCTTTTTTCGCGCAGGAGAGCCAGCCAAGTATATACATACATGTGTGTGTGCCTGCAACAGAGATAATATTCAGGATGGATTTTTTTTAAAAGGACTTCTTCACCCAGGGCGTAGGCAAACTATTGAACTCGCTCTCAGAGAAGGCAGTGGTAGCCACCAAACCTAGGTGGTTTAAAAATAACTTTGGAGAAATTCATGGAGGAGAGGACAATTGATGGCTCCTAGCCAGGATGGCTGGCCTCTGCAGCCAGGGTCGGGTCTTTATCCACAAGGCTTGGTTTCCAGACCCTGGATCATCTTGGCTGCTCTCCTCTGCACACCTCCCAGCTTATCAGATTGCCAGTATCCTTCTTAGATTGTGGTGCCCCAAACTGGACACAGGATTCCAGGTGGGGTCTGACCAGGGCCATCTTTACCTGGGGGTGCAAGGGGCGCAGGGCACCCAGGCGCTGAATTCTGGGGGGCGCCCGGCGCCCACCTCTGAAACCGCCTAAGCTCTTAACTATCTACCTGTTATGAAATAATAAGTAATTTTGATCAAGCTAGAAAAACAATATACATATACAGTGGATGCTCGAGTTGCAAATGTGATCCATGCGGGATGCACGTTCGCAACCCGCAGCGTTCGCAACCCTCAGCAGTGCGTCTGCGCATACGCGGGTTGCAATTCGACGCTTCTGCACATGCACAAAGCACGATTTAGCGCGTCTGTGCATGCGCGACCCCCGAAACCTGGAAGTAACCTGTTCCGGTACTTCCAGGTTTCAGCGGGTCCGTAACCTGAAAAAACGCAACCTGAAGCGTCTGTAACCTGAGGTATTACTGTATACCCAGGTGTTACCGAAATGTATACCTACTGTTTCACTAAAGGACTTTCGACTTTGTGTGCTCATTTACCAAAGACGTGCCGCACCAGCAGCGGCGCTTGTCATTCACAACGGCGGCGCTTCTCAGACTTGGGGGAGCTGGATGGATCTTTGCACCCTGGCGGCGCATACACTAAAGACTCCCCTGGGTGTGATCAAGGAATAATAATAATAATAATAATAATAATAATTTATTTATACCCTGCCCATCTGGCTGTGTTTCCCAGAAGAGAGCAGGTATCTCTTTGACTAGACAGCAGGCTTCACAGCATCTCGCTTCCTCTGCTGCCAGCTCCCTGCAGCACCTCCTGCTATTGGGACCTGATCCTGCGGGCAGCCAAGTTCTGCAAGCATGATGGATCTGTTTGGCAGGCTTAGCTAAGGCCCTAGTGAAGGGTTTTGGCTTCCTCTCATGCTATAAAAGGCAGCCTTAAAAAACAGCCTTTTTTATGACGATGTACTTACAATGTGGAAAATTCCCCCTTTAAAAACGAGGTAGAGGGAGATTGTAAACATTCAATTAACTGCCTTTGGTTACCGGCTGATAACAGTTTCGTTCCTGGCATTTGGAGGAGGACGTTTCAGCCGACAAAAGGTTTATGCTCTATTAATACGATTAATTGGCTTTAAAAGTGCTACTGGAATCTAATGTTCCATTACTGTGAGGCGAGACACCCTCCTGTCCTATTGCTGCAAAAGGAAAAAAAGCCATTTGTTGAGGGAGGGATATTGTCTAAAGCTTTGAAGAGCCACATTTCCCAAGATCCTCAAATTAGGGACCCCATAGGATCACCCAGTCCTCCCTTCCTACAATGCAGTGCTTGCAAAGAAACCCTCTGCAATTTGCAAGGCGTAGTTCCAGGGCTGTCTGCACGTTTTAATCTGTGGTGTTTTTTTTTGTCACTGATTTTATCTTTGGAATATTTTAATTATTTCATTTCCCGATGGCTTCATTGTCTTGCCTTTTCCGAAAACTACTTTGAGGTTTTGAGGGGTGATTGTTTACAATCTACAATTCTACGAAATTACTACGACGAAGCAAATATTCTTACCGCTGTATTTGATCACGCGTATGGTCGAGTCTCCGTCTCCGAATATGGTGACCGGGGTCAGGCGGACTTCGTAAGCCTCAGGCTTGATCAGCTCTGTCAGGTTGTAGGTGATCAATTCTCCCTTCTGGATCTTCAGGTTCACAGCAATTTCCTGCTCCCACCAGCGCTGCTGTCCGGCCTAGAAGCAAGAGGCGAGAAGGTTGCTGAGTTCCAGATGAGCAAAACACGCAAATCAGCAGCGCAAAACCCGGCAAAACTTGAGAAAACCAAAAAGATGTTTCTTTATGAAAGATATTAGTTCAGGCATAGGCAAACTTGGCCCTCCAGATGTTTTGAGACCACATTTCCCATCATCCCTGACCACTGGTCCTGTTAGCTAGGGATGATGGGAGTTGTAGTCCCAAAACATCTGGAGGGCCGAGTTTGTCTATGCCTGTATTGGTTGCTTACTTTCCCCCCCAGAAACTGAAAACGAAGTACAGAACAACTTGGGGAAGAAAACTACCGTATTTTTCGCTCTATAAGACACACTTTTTCCCTCCTAAAAAGTAAGGAGAAATGTGTGTGCGTCTTATGGAGCGAATGCAGGCTGTGCAGCTATCCCAGAAGCCAGAACAGCAAGAGGGATCGTTGCACAGCGAAAGCAGTGATCCCTTTTGCTGTTCTGACTTTGCTTCGCTGGAGAGGCGCTGTGCAGAGAGGGAAAGCTGCGCAGAGCTCCTTCAGCGAAGTGGGAGGAGAAACGGAGCCCCTTCCATTTCTCCCCCCGCTTTGCTGGAGAGGCACTGCGCAGATTCAGAATATTTTTCCCCCCTTGTTTTCCTCCTCTAAAACTAGGTGTGTCTTAAGGTCAGGTGCATCTTATAGAGCCAAAAATACGGTACATAAAACCAGGAAAAAGATATAGGGTATGTTGAAACAGGCCACCCACTCTAAAAGACCACAGATAGTTAAAATCGAAAGGCCTGGTTTAAAAGGAATGCTTTTGCACTTGAAGGATGGTGCCAGGCAAGCATCCCAGGGAAAGCCTCATTCTGCAAATGAGGAGCCACCACTGAAAAGGCCCTGTTCTGATGTAGTCACCCTCCAGACCTCCCATGGAGGGAAACACATGTCAAAGGGACTCAGGTGATTGTCCTAGGGTCTGGGTCAGTTCATATGGGGAATATCCCATGAATGGCTGCCCCCTTTGACCTCAGTGGGTCACAGCCACGGCAGGAGAATTAGGGAATCACATGCGGATTCATTCGTTCGCTCAAATCTCAATTCCAGTGGTGTTCCTTTGCTCTCGGCACCTGTTCCAAGACATGCTTGGAGTGGAGAAGGGTCGTGGTCTGCATGTCTGCTCTGCATGCCAATTGCCCCAGCCTCTGTTCTGGAGAGCCACTGTCCACATCCACACCAAGCACTGAAAGCACTACGATGCCACATTTTATCATATGTGGTGGGATTGTAAGGTAATAAAAAAATTTTGGGAAATGATATACAACGAATTGAAGAAAATGTTCCATTTAACATTTGTTAAAAAACCCGAGGCATTTTTGTTGGGGGTGGTAGGGAAAGACCTGCCAAAAAAGTTGAAAAACATCTTCATGTATGCGACAATGACCGTGAGAGTTCTGGTAGCACAAGGATGGAAGACTGAAGAAACCTCAACTAAAGAATCATGGCAAGAAAAATCGACGGACTATGCAGAACTGGCAAAACTGACATATAAGCTACGGGACAAGGATAACTGTGACTTTAAGGATGAATGGGAACCCTTTACAAAGTATCTGAAGACACAACAAAGCGAACCGGACTCCTTGGCAGGTTTTGAATAAACATTCACAAACTTTTTGTTGATAATAATCAGCTAAGTAGTTTGAGGATCTATACAACTGTGTAACATGCAGAAAACAGCATTCTCAGAGAAACCAAAGACTGGAACTGAGGGAAGTCGGGGTGTGTGGGTTTGGGGGGGGAATGGGGGGGGAGCAAGGATGATATGTTTTTGGATAATATGTCTTGTTATAATTTTGAATAATAATAAAAAAAGAAAGCACTATGATGCCACATTAAAGAGTTGCATCGCAGGGGGTTGGACTAGATTACGCTTGTGGTCCCTTCCAGGTCTCCGATTCTACGATTTCTATGTATGTAGAGAGGAAACCCTATTAATCAGTTCAGAACAAAGTCTGGCTGGTGGATGCAATTGCCTTGTCTTCATAAACAGAGTCTTTTAACAAACCTTTGCCCAATCACAGTGTGTAGGCTTGATTTCCTTTGACATCCTATGCTAGCCTGGTTGATGGGAACAAACCGCTCAAGGTGCAAGGAAGCCAGAGCGGAGATGCCTCTTTAAACATCGCTTCTTTCCCTGGGAAATTGCATCGGGAGACGGTTCGCTTGCAGAGAGTGTTTCCATTTGACCCGAGAGGGAAACGGATGGGCCACTCTCCATTATTCATTAGGATGTAAGTGAGCAAATTTGTTTGCTTGTGTCGTGGTTCTAGGGGTTGCTCGTGCGTAAGCCGGTGCAAACACCTGGCTGGGTTGCCTGAGTGAACCTTTTCTGTCCGGACAGCCACTCACCCGTGGCTGTCTCAATCGCTGGCAGAATCCGTCAGTGGGCGTTTCTTAAACTTCTTCCAGCAAAGAAGCTCTTTGACGCCTAGTCTCCTCCTACTCTCTCTGCGCGAAAGCCTTCTGCACAAGGAGGGCGTAGGCAACGGAGGACCCCTACTCTCCCCGCTGGTCCCCAGCAAGGAGTCATGGGACCGCCTCACCGCTTCCCCCATCTGCCCCCCTTCTCCACTGGTGCTACGCTGATTCTCTTCCCCAGAAGATGGGCTGCCTCTCCCAATCCCGGGACGCTCTCTGGAATCCCTCTGGCTTTTGCTCTCTCCCTCCGGCACTGATGGCAGTTCCCTGACAGCTTGTTTTGAGATCTTACGGCCGATTTTCAAGGCCGTACTCTCGCAGAGCTGCTTCCGACATGTAAAACCGACAATAGAGCCCTGAAGAATGGATCAAAAAAGCAATAAAAGCCCACTCTCTATGCTTTCCAGAAGTGATTGAAGCCAATTCCGCCTGCCCCCCCCCCGCAACAAGCTTTGCCAGCTAGATGAGAAGGTCTTTGCACCAGGAGTTCATTTGTTGTGAATTGCTCTGTGATATTTGGGGGAAGTGCGGTGTACAAATTGAATAATAAACAAACAATTCAAATCAATAAATTTGGGATTGTTTTAAAACCAATTTTCAGTTAGGTTTCTGCACACACCCCCACCCACTGTTTTAAAAACAACTTTAGTTGCTTCATGATATGTCTGTAAAAAAAAAGGTCTTGCGGCAAATATGCAAAAGGACATTTCTAAATTAATCAGTTTAATCATAAAAAAATAAAACATGATTAAAAAGGTACAGCTTGACAACAACGTTCTCATAGAGGCTGTGATAAGAATCTTAAGGTCTAAGATATATAATAAATGTTCATAAGTGTACCAACCAAGCACATACATAGATCAGCACAGGAAGACTGACCTGAAACCATTTTTGATTCCCAAACTGACCAAATGTTTTCTCTGCAAGGTCAAAGAAAAATGGAAAAGCCTCCTCATTGTCTTTTCCTTCACAAATCCTGTCTTAAGGGTATGTGTGTGTTTGAATAGGGTGTGAGCCTGTGACCTGGCTCAGGAACTAAGTATTTATCTTTACAAAAGCCTGGCCAGGCTCCCCAGGCAATCCAATCAAGTGAGCATTAACAGGTAACCTGTCAGACGAGATAAACAACGCACTCAGATTTCTGCTGTAGACCGCCTTTTCTGTGATGTATGTATGATGTATGGAGGGGTGGCCTTGGACTCCAAGGCGGGCAATTTAAAATGTCTATATACGGGCGGGCACACCTGGGTTCTGGTTCCTCCTTCCTCCTGCATGTGGTGAGTGAGGACCCTGTTGCAACAGATCAATAAAGATCCGGCTTATTAGCTGCTTTGCTTCTCAATATTCTCTGGTTGGCCTCTGTTATTTTCTCCTAACAATAGGGAACCCACTTAAGGACTCTATATGGGCTCTTGGATACCCCATAAGGGGATAAGGGCAGATTTTCGTTTACAACCAGGCCAACCAAATAATTGGGGCAAACTCGCAAGTAGATTTGAGAACAGCAACAAGAACAGCACCAAGAATCTTATGCGCTCTTGAGGACTAACACCTTTGCTATGGCATAAACTGTAGTCCACGAAAGGCAATGAGCACGTAAGTTTTTTAAATACTGCAAGACTCTTTGTTGTCTCCATTTAAGTGTGTCAGCAGAATCAATAAGTTTGGCTCAGGGTGGAGGATTAAAGATGCCGAACTCAGCCCCAGTTAAAATTGGAAGGAGAGCAACCTGGAACAAAAGGTGGCGTGGCATTTAATGATTCGTGTATTGCTTAGCTGCAAAAGAGCAGAGTTGTGTCCTGACACATGTAACCGCAGACCGCCTGGGACAGGAGAATAATGGGGCTATTTGCAAGATGAATTTAAAGGGGAGGCAGCAATTTCAGAACATGCTGAAAGTTTGCTTTGAACTTCCCGTTGCTGGTATTATTTAAATTTGTGGACAAGACCATTATATACAAATGAAATAGAAAAGAAAATAATAAAAAGAAATGTGTGGGGGCGGGGAGATAGCATAGCAAGCAAGCAAACAAACAAACACCCTTTACAGTATGGTGAAAGGGAAAAAAATATCATCATTTACATTGGAATTCCAGAAATGTGAAAACAGGGCCTACCTCTCCATTAATTTGTTTTCGTGATTGTGTTTCTCTCATAATTTTTTATCATTAAGGCACTTTGCCAAATTTTTCTTAACCAATTAGACACGGTAGGGGGGAATCTTTATTTTTCCATTTCCCCGCTAGACACTGTTTTGCTGCTGTTAGCAGTGTGGTAATAAGCTGTAAATCAGTATTAATGGCTTCATTTTATATTTTGAAGGGCAACCAAAATGATGAGGGGGGGTGGAGGCAATGATGGCGTCCGATGGCTACTGGCCAAGCTGTCTACGCCTCCCCAGGAGGAAGTGGCTGGAAATTGCTGGAGGGGAAAGGGCTCTTGGGCTTGGATCCTGCTCCCCTGTTTCCCATACGCAACTGTTCAGCCCCTGTGAGAACAGCCAGCAGGTTCTTCTTACGTTCTTAGTCCTTGTGCTTCGTGTGACAAACCACGTATAAATATTCCTTACATTCTGCACGCAGCTCAGAGGACTTGACGCTCATCCATTCTTGTGTGTTGAGCAAGCTGCTTTATGGAAGTGGGTTGTGGGTTGTGGGCAACTTATAACCATCAGGAGCGATGCTCAACACCTTCCACATGCATTGCATCAATAATAATAATAATAATAATAATAATAATAATAATAATAATTTATTTATATCCCGCCCTCCCCAGCCAAAGCCAGGCTCAGAGCGGCTAACAACAGTAAAAATAGCACAAATTACATAAAACCACAGTCAATTAATTGAAATACATTCTAAAATCAGTTCAGAATCAAATTAATGGCAACCATTGGGCTAGAGTTCTGTGAGGATTACAGAAGGAGAGAGGGGGTCAGACTGCGCCCTGACCAAAGGCCTGGTGGAACAGCTCCATTTTGCAGGCCCTGCGGAAAGATGTCAAGTCCCGCAGGGCCCTAGTCGCTTGTGACAGAGTGTTCCACCAGATCGGGGCCACAGCCGAAAAAGCCCTGGCTCTGGTTGAGGCCAGCCCAACCTCCCTGTGGCCCGGGATCTCCAAGATGTTTTTATTTGAAGACCTTAAGGTCCTCCGTGGGACATACCAGGAGAGGCGGTCCCGTAGGTACGAGGGTCCTAGGCCACATAGGGCTTTAAAGGTTAAAACCAGCATCTTCAACCTGATCCTGTACTCCACCGGGAGCCAGTGTTGGGCACCACGTAGCAGGAGAGAATCTCAAACAAAGATGTGCTCTCCCAAAACCATATTCCCAGCATGTTCACACTCTTGTCTCTGCGATGTCTCCGCTGGTTTGGTCATGTCCACACAATGGAAGATGGCAAGACCCCCAAGGACACGCTCCACGTGGAACGAGCTTCAGGCACCAGGCCTGTTGGCAGAACAACTCTGTGCTACAAAGATGTTTATAAATGTGATATGAAGTCTGGCGACATCAACTGTGTGGGAATCCCTTGCAGGCGACCGCAGTGCCAGCAAACAGACAGTCAGGTTGTGCATCCCTAGCAGTGACCAGAGGAAGAATGACCGCTGGTAGAAGCGCGGAGAAGAAACACCCTGATGCATCTGTAGCAGCACAACCAGACGCCTTCCTCTGCCCCAGCTGCAACAAAACATGTCTCTCCCATACTGGTTTCTACATCCACAGCAGATGCTGTAACTCCAGTCTGACTTCACCCACAAAGGTGCACTGTTCCATTCAGGGTCACCTTTAGCCTACGCGGCGCCAGGGTGCAAACAAACTGCCCAGTGCCCCCATTTTGGGGGAGGCAGGCCAAAGTTGTTGAGCTTTTTTGGGGGGCACGCAACTCTCTCCCATGCCGCTGTGAGAGGAGAGCAATCCCCACAGAGGGCGGGGGAAGGCCAGCCCTGTGGTGCTCTAAAGGGGTCTGCTCCACTCAGCAGCGGCTGTCGGCTGGCCTGGCTCTTCAATCCCCGGACTCCAAATCTCAGCCCTGGACTTTCGGCCTGGTGCCCCTGAGAGCCTGGTGCCCGGGTGCCCCACACCCCTAGCGCCTATGGGTAAGGCGGCCCTGGTTCCATTGTCTCCTGAGACAGACAGATGCCAAAGCAACATGCAGGTGCCTGAATAAAAAGAGAGCTTTAAGGTGAATCTGTACATTGCATGCTTTCCCTCAAACAGCATTGATTGCGGCCTTTTGCCAGCTCATGATGGTCACCCATACATAAGGGGGGGGGGGAGCAGACAATGACAGGTCCTGTTCCCTTTCACTGGCTTCGTCTCCTCCTGCTGAGCTTGAGTGACAGCTCAATTTTTTCAGCTCCAAGGGATCTTGGTGAGCGACGCCGTTGCAGCCGGAGGGGTGGTGGGTGCGGGAGGGAGAACAGCTCGCTCCGGAAACTTAAAGGTTTTCAACTTTCACAAGATTGTTACCCGTCAAAACCCTCCTGACATGTGTTTAGCACTCGCGCTGTCAGGGAACAGCGGCAGAATGACAAGAGGTGCTGTTTAAGGAATTCTGCCACAGAGCCGGGCGATTGATCTCCGGTGGAATCTGGGTCGTTTCTCACTCAGATCCAGACAGACTTTTGTCTCGCTGGGAAATTAAAAATAAAATAAGCATCTGCATTCACGAGAGGGCAGGAATGGTTTGCCACTTCCAAGACTGCCTGAGCAGTGTCTGAGCACTGCAGCCCATCTCCCACATGGGTGGAGGCAACTCAGAGAAGTCTCTTTTGAAGTTGCCCCATGCAGTGAGACTTCATCGCTCCCGTCAGTTTACTCTCTTGCCATTTATTGCTTGTTATTCAACAAGAAGCCTTGGAAGAAGGATGAAGGGAAGAAAGGGAGGCAGGCGGGTGGTGAATCATCCATCCATCTGCGGAGGGAAGGACTGTTCCTGCTCCATCTGGCAAGTGACTGACACCCTTATCTGCCCTTTCAGGATCCTGGAAGTTGCCGATATCGCCTCCTGTGTCCTCCCATCAATCAAGACGTGATTGACGTGGCTTTGAATAGGCTCCTCTGCTTGCCATTTCTGGAGTCTGCTCGGAACCACTTCCGAGAGGGCTGGCAAAACTCTCTAGAAAACAGGAGAGCAAAAGAGCATGGGTGCTGGATCAGGCCAGTGGGCCATCTGCGGCTGGAACCATCAACGCTTCTCAAGGCCACTGGCTGGAAACTACAGGAGGGGAGCAAGTGCTCTTGCACTCACATCCCGCTTGCTGGTTTTTCCTCGGGGCATCTGGTTGGGAGAACAGGATGCGGGAGTGGATGGACCGCTTGCATGATTCTGGAGGATATTTGTATGTCCTTCAGCTAGTCCAACATCCTGTTCCCAGGATGCCCCATTGGGAATGATGATGATGGTGGTGGTGATAATAATAATAATAATAATAATAATAATAATAATAATAATAATAAATTTATTATTTACACCCCGCCCATCCAGCTGGGTTTCCCCACCCACTCTGGGCAGCTCTCAACAGAATATTAAAAACAGCATAAAACAGTTATATGCCGCCCATATGACTGGGTTTCCCCAGCCACTCTGGCAAGCTCCCAACAAAATAGTAAAAGATCAAACATCAAAAACTTCCCTAAACAGGGCTGCCTTCAGATGTCTTCTAAAAGTCAAATAGTTGATTCTTTCCTTGACATCTGAAGGGAGGCTGTTCCACAGGGAGGGCGCCACCACCGAGAAGGCCCTCTGCCTGGTTCGCTGTAACCTCACTTCTCGCAGGGAGGGAACTGCCAGAAGGCCCTCGGAGCTGGACCTCAGTGTCCAGGCAGAACGATGGGGGTGGAGATGCTCCTTCAGGTATACAGGACCGAGGCCGTTCAGGGCTTTAATGGTCAGCACCAACACTTTGAATTGTGCTCGGAAACATACTGGGAGCCAGTGTAGGTCTTTCAGGACCGGTGTTATCTGGTCTCAGCAGCCACCCCCAGTCACCAGTCGAGCTGCCGCATTCTGGATTAGTTGGAAGCCCATAAGCAGGACCTGAATGCATTTTGTCTCTCTGCTCTTACCATTCATATTCTATGTTTCTCTGGGCTCAAGGGATCTGCAGTGCAGGGGTCATCCCTAGATTAAAGTGGGTTGGGCTAGATGACCCAACCTACAGTTCTATGATTCCAGCCAAGATTTTGCACATGGAGAAATGAAGAGCTCAGGATTTTTATTTTTATTTTTGCTAAAGCACAGGCATAGAGGATATTCTGTTTTTGTTTAGCGAAAAGCTTCATTTAAGTTTTAAAAACCCCACGTTGCTCTGCTCTAACAACACAAAACACCCCGAGCTCCTCAGAACTCCACAGGGCAGCCTTTTTGACAGCCTCACTTTGTAATGCCTATCAGAAAGCCTCTAAGGCTCAGACTGGTGTGGAGCTGCAAAGGCTTTTAAAATGCGGGAAATGAAGAGCTTTGTTTAAGCACAGATTGAAACGGAGGGAGCACAGAGTGACTTGGAAAAAGATCAGAATTTTGTTTAGCCTGGAGAACAGAAGATTGAGAGGAGATAGGATTTGTTGTTGTTGAGTCGTTTAGTCGTGTCCGCCTCTTGGTGACCCCCTGGACCAGAGCACGCCAGGCACTCCTGCCTTCCACTGCCTCCCGCAGTTTGGTCAGACTCATGCTGGTCGCTTCTATAACACTATCCAACCATCTCGTCCTCTGTCGTCCCCTTCTCCTTGTGCCCTCCATCTTTCCCAACATCAGGGTCTTTTCCAGAGAGTCTTCTCTTCTCATGAGGTGGCCAAAGTACTGGAGCCTCAGCTTCAGGATCTGTCCTTCCAGTGAGCACTCAGGGCTGATTTCCTTCAGAATGGAGAGGTTTGATCTTCTTGCAGTCCATGGGACTCTCAAGAGATAGGATAGCTATGTTCAAATATCTGAAGGGCTGCCCCGTGGGAGATTTCTTGATTTCTCCTGCTTCCAGATGTTAGGACCCAAACCAAAGAATTCAAATGACACAAAAGGAGGTTCTGACTCAATATTAGGAAGAACTTTCAGAGGGCAAGAGCTGTTTAGTAGCTCAGTGCCCTCTCTTGGAAGGTAGAATCATAGAAGGTGCTCCAAGAATCAACCAGTCCAACCCCCTGTACTGCAGGTGGTGGACTCTCCTTCATTGGAGGATATTAAGCAGGGGATGGATGGCCACCTCTCAAGGTTTCTTCAGTTGTGATTCCTGCATTAACAGCAACCACTTCCCAAAAGCCTGTCAGACCAAGAAAGTCTTCACCTGCTAGCAGAAGGACCGCAAGGAGGGAGCCAGTCTGGCCTCTCTGGGGAGGGAGTTCCAAAGTTGCCTGGGAGCGGCCACCACCAAGAAGGCCCTGTCTTGAATACCCATCAGGCATGACTGGGAGGGTGATGACACCAAGAGAAGGGCTTCCCTGGAAGATCTCTGAGCCTGGGAAAGGTTGTATGAAGGAATGCAGTCTTCCAGATAGCTTGGACCTAAGTCATATTCAAGCCATCATCTGACATCAGGAATCACAAGACAGAGAAGCCAGTAGGAGAACACTTCAGTCTCCCAGGACATTCAATACAGGATCTCAAAGCAGCTGTCTTATTGCAAAAGAATTTCAGAAACAGACTTGAAAGAGAAGTTGCTGAATTATAACTTATCACTAAACTGAAAACTATGGAGAGCCCTGGTCTGAATAGAGATATTGGATTCCTGTCTCATTACATATGCTAATCATCTGCATACTATCCCTAGCTTTTTCCTGTAGGACTAATTGCAGTCGTTAACAGTCGTCAACAGGTTGACCTTGAGTCAATCTCCCATCTCCTGCTCCCCTCCTGAGAAAAACCCCACCCCACCCTCTCACTATATATAAGGGTCTGGTGACTTCTGTTTCAGTGTATCTGAAGAAGTGTGCATGCACAAGAAAGCTTATACCCAGAACAAACTTAGTTGGTCTCTAAGGTGCTACTGGACATTTTAAAATATTTTTTAATATATTTCAAACCAGCAGTTTATATTGTTCCAGTGGCGCTGCAGCAGCAGCAATCTCTTTGATGTCAACAGGATAGCAGCATCCCCAAGCCCACCTGAGGGCTGCCAGGAAGTTTCCGGTGTGCAAGGCACTTCCACTTCTGCTCTCCAACAGAAGGGAACGAAAAACAAACCCCTGTGTTGCAATAAGAGCCAATCACAGCAATACAAACACAACATGTAGGCTAATAGTTAGTAGAGAATATATAATTGAATAATGATATCATTCAAATTATAGGAATAAGCCTATCAAAGTTCATATGTACAACATAACAGAGTGGTAGCAAGGACCGTCAAGCCGTGTGTTCAAAACAGATGTCTAAGGACAGTCTCACAACAATCTTTCAAAAGTTTCAACAGAAGATGTCTCAAAAGATTCAAAAGTAAAGTCTCTCAATAGTCTTTCAAAAGTTTCAATGGAAGACGTCTCATAAGCCTCAAAAGGACAGTGTCTCCAGAATGATACTACTGTTTTGTAATAGTCTTCATCAACCAATATTTTTCAACAGAATATGTAAGTCAGATTCATGCTAAGGATCAGTGCTCACTAGATAGTCATCAGCAGCTACTACACTATCTAGTGAGCACTGATCCTTAGCATGAATCTTTTGAAAGACTGCTTTGAACACACGGCTTGACATGAGTTCCCTTTGTTCGGTCCCAGCTCCTGCCAACCTAGCAGTTCGAAAGCACGTCAAAGTGCAAGTAGATAAATAGGTACTGCTCTGGCGGGAAGGAAAACGGCGTTTCCGTGTGCTGCTCTGGTTCGCCAGAAGCAGCTTAGTCATGCTGGCCACATGACCCGGAAGCTGTACGCCAGCTCCCTCAGCCAATAAAGCGAGATGAGCGCCGCAACCCCAGAGTCGGCCACGACTGGACCTGACGGTCAGGGGTACCTTTACCTTTAACCCATTCTGGCGTATCAGGTGCCGAGCCTAAGGGACATCACGATCTGCACAATCCCTTTTATGTCCTTGGGAGTTCTTCCAAAATCATTACCATGGAAGGTAATAATTTTAGTGTTGGCCACCCATAAACCTCTTGCAAACAAGATCCGAAGAGCTCTGTGGGTTTCGCTGCTTTAGAAGAGAGCTCTTCTCCCGGTTAACTTGGCCCTGGATGGCGTCTGGAATAAAACCCAAGTGTCAGATTGTGGATTAAGCACCCGCACTCCAACAGGGTGGTTAATTTAAGAAATCAAGGCAAGGCAATCTAAACCTCTCAGTTGGAGCACTCGACACCAGCTCTCCAAAATCAACTCTTTGCCAAAGATGGAAATGAGATGATGTTTTCTCCAACAAAAGTGTGTGGAAATTTTGACACACAAAAAAAGGTCTCAGCCATTTTTATTTTGCATAGGTTGAGAGCTCCTTTAGCACAGCAGCTGTGAGATGAAAAATCCTCCATTTATCACTTTGTTTTTATTCTGTTTTTCAGAGAAACCCTCCCGAGGCAGCTCACGGCGATTAAAAAACTTAAAATGACAAAAAAGGGTTGATACGCAATTAAAGATGATCAAAACCAGCCAGACAACAGGAACTCACTGCCAGCATGTATGACAAAATCAACCAAACAGCAAGCAAAACAAAAAAGTTTGGGAGGACTGCTTAAAGGCAGCTACTGTTAAGGACATTCCACAGATGTGGAGCCAACACCAAGAAAACCCTGACTATGGCAACTACCAGTCTGAAGGTGGAGAGGAAAGTGAGTCTGATTTCAGGGGCTGAGCATCTTCCAGCATTGAAGGGGGTTGGTCTAGATGACCCTCGGGGCCTTGTCCAGCTCTACAATTCTAGGATTCTAGGATTCTGTATGGGTTCTTCAAGCATTCCTCAAATAGCTTGGTTCCAGGGCGACTTAAATTGACAGATTCCTCATCATTCCTCATCATGGCCTAGGACCCTTGTACCTACGGGACCGCCTCTCCCGGTATGCCCCACGGAGGACCTTAAGGAGAACCCTAGAGGTTCCGGGCCCTAAGGAAGTTAGATTAGCCTCAACCAGAGCAGGGCCTTTTCAACACTGGCCCCGGCCTGGTGGAACGCTCTGCCTCATGAGACCAGGGCCCTGTGGGATCTGATTTCTTTCCGCAGGGCCTGTAAGACAGAGTTGTTCCGCCTGGCCTTTGGCTTGGAATCAGTTTGATTCCCTCCCCCTCTTTCTTTTTCTTTTTCCTTTCTCCTCCTGTGATGAGGCTGCATTTTAATATTTTAATGTTTCAATATTTTAATTGTTGCATTTTAATCTTGTTTATAAGTTGTATTCATTCAACTTGTTTTTATTATTGCTCGTTAGCCGCCCTGAGCCCGGTCTTGGCTGGGGAGGGCGGGGTATAAATAAAATATTATTATTATTATTATTATTATATCTTTAGCAGGGCTTAAACATCAGACAGAAAAGTGTGGTGGACACTTTGGAACTCCCTGCTTATTGATACCAGGGAGGCACTTCCACTGTGTGCCAGTGTGGTGTAGTGGTTAAGAGCGGTGGACTCGTAATCTGGTGAACCGGGTTCGCGTCTCTGCTCCTCCACATGCAGCTGCTGGGTGACCTTGGGCCAGTCACACTTCTCTGAAGTCTCTCAGCCCCACTCACCTCACAAGAGTGTTTGTTGTGGGGGAGGAAGGGAAAGGAGAATGTGAGCCGCTTTGAGACTCCTGAAGGGGAGTGAAAGGCGGGATATCAAATCCAAACTCTTCTTCTTCTTCTTCTTCTCAGCACCTGCGGAAGCACATTCTTTTTTAGACCAGCCTACCCAGATGTTTAGGAAGTTTGAGTTTTACTGAGTTTAAGTCTACTCTATTGCGGCTTTAACTATGTGTATGTTTTAAATGATGGTTGTAAAAGTTTTAGTGATAATTTGAATTTTTTTTAATCTTTGAGGGTTTCCCCCCTAAAATCAAGTGGCATATAGATTTTATGAAATGAATGGAAAATAAATAAAAACAAACTCTAGCCCACTCCATAAAGGCGAGTGTCGCCTAAATATATACAATTTGTCTGCCTCTGAAAGTCACCCAAATATTCTAATCCCTGGATAGCTGGATAGCTCAGCTGGTCAGAGCCTGGTCCTGATAATGCCAAGGTTTGGCCACAAGGCTGGTTCCCCTCCCTGACTTTAGGACACTGCCATAAAAAAACTGAAAGTGATGGACTTTTTGACAGTGCAGAAAAGGTTTCCAAAAGACAGAAAATGGATTCATGGAATCGTAGAATTGGAAGGAACCCCGGGGTCATCTAGTCCAACCCCCTGCAATGCAGGAATCTCAGCTAAAACCTCCATGGCAGGTGGTCATCCAAGCTCTGTTGAACAGCTCTTCCTGTCAGAAAGTTCTTCCTGATCTTTGGTTAGAATCTCCTTTCCTGTCATTTGAATCCATTGGTTGGTGTCCTTTCTGCCCTCTGGAGCAGCAGAAAACAAGCTTGTTCCCTCTTCTGCTTGGTAGCCCTTCAGATATTGGAAGGTGGCCATCTTCTCCACTGTCAGTCTTCTTCTCTTTTCCAGGCTAAACACACTGAACTCCCGCAGCCATTTCTCACCAGGCTCGGTTTCCAAACCCGTCACCTTCTTCGTCATCCTCCCCTGGTCACCTTCAGCTCCAACCTCCATCCCTGACCAGCTTGTGTATGTCACAGCAGAAAACTGGATTTGCAAAAGCAGAGGGTAAGGAACACACTTTTGAACAACAGAGGAGAAACAGAAATGGTGGAGGATGTTCTTGGTACAGATCCAGTTGCAAGTCGGACCAAAGTTGGTGTCTGAAAAGATCCACGCAGCTGTGTAAAGGATGTGACTGTTAGAATTCCTGCTCCATGATTGCAGTCATGGGATTATTGTCTTTCACATGACGGTGTATGTTTTGACTCCACAGAGTGGGAAGTGATGGAGACAGGATGTTTGTGTTACTGTGTTCCGTGAAGTGGGACTATTGTCCTTTGTTCTTTCTCTTTGCTGTCTGATGCTAGAGAGAGAGGGAGCCACGTTGCAGTGCTCCATGTGTGTTTGTATGTAAATAAAGTAAATTAGCCAAAATGCTGAGTTGCTGAGGTCTGTCACGCATGATGCGCAAACTCTGCAGATCCCTAATTGTGCCGGTGTCGGTTGGCATCGGTCGCTGTGATGTTCGGGCTGAAGAAAGCTTTTGAAGCTCCCGAATGATCGACCAGGAGCGAGAGAACATGCCAGTTAGGCATGTGTCTCTGCCAGGGTCCTACTCGCCTGTAGGACGAGCTATCCTTGGACAAATCTGGATAGCAAGAATTGTATAAGATTCTTACCACACCTGGAATCAACATCACAATCCTCAACATGTCTTCTCAGAATGAATTCTCATGGCTTTCAGTGAGAACATAAGCTTTATTTTATCTGCAATCCCAGGTAAAGATGAGTAAGACTGTAGCCCTAAGTATGTCTACTCAGAGTTTAAACTGCATTGAATTCAACGGGGTCAAGTCCTACAACAGCAGGCATAGGATTGAAGTGGCACGTATCATAGCTGCCTTTCCCATGGGCAAAAGGGGTCATAGGACCATGGATGAGATTTTTTTAAGTGTTACGGTTGCAGATGAGGAAAGTCCCTTGAGCTGATTTTTTTTTCTTTTTAACATGTGGGTGAGAATTTGATCTGCCTTCAAGCCACCCCAGGAAGACTGGTGTGCCTAAAGATCAAACTGTATTATTTAACACTCATTCCCACTCCTTATCAGGTTCCACAACTGAGTCAAAGAGGGATATTCACTTCTGCAAATGTGTTTGCATTGAGAGATTTCTTGAACGTTATCACTGGGCGGACTAACTCTTAAGCAAATTCGCAGCAGGTGTTAACAGGGAAGAAGGCGTCTAATTATCACCCTGGCTCCAGGAGATATCACGGCATAATGAAGGAAGAGAGCGGAGTCTCTTTCTCTCTTCCTCAAACAAACACACACGTGAAAATCCCCATTTGCAGTTGAGTCACATAACACAGTCAAGAGCAGCTCCAAGGGAAGGCTCCCTGATGGGCACTTCAGGACATTTAAAAGATTGCGGCTGTTTATTTGAAAGATGTCCTACTCACCCTTCACCATAAGGTTCCAAGGTGGGTGAGAACAATACACTGATAGAACTGTAGAGTTGGAAGGGATCCCCAAAGGTTCTCTAGTCCAACCCTCTGCAATGCAGGAATCTCAATGAAAGCATCCATGGCAGGTGGCCAGCCAAGCTCTGCTCAGAAACCAGTAGGGAGCCCACCATTTTCAGAGGCAGACCACTCTACTGTTGAACGGTTCTTGCCTAATATTTAGCTGGAATCTGTGGGGATGTTCAGGGATGCAGAAGAGGATATTTTGTTTGATTATAGCCTTTCCAACTTGTGTTAACAAGTTCACAATTTAGCAGAGTAACATTCTCCTTTTTAAACTCACAGCGGATGCATTTGCTCAGGCTCGCTAAAGCCTCTATAACAACTCTTCTGGTATTTCCCCCTTATTCCCTCATAAAAGATAAGACACAACACAGCTTCTATAAAAGTATAAAAAGAGTTTACTCACATTCTGTTCACAATCGGATCCTAGAAGGCAGACTTAGCTTAGAAAAGTAACATACACCTGGAAACTATCTCATAAGGAGACAGTCCCTTTGTCCTCTCTTGGCTGGAGGCCAAGAGAGCATCTTTGGCTAAGCAGATGTTGCTTCTTTGATGCATGTAGTCAAAGAGAGAGAGATGGCTGCCCTGCCCTGTGCTTTTGTCGTTACCTGCACAGGTGAGGCCACACCCACCTCTAGTCACATGCAGAGGAAGTCTGTCCCAGCCCAGAAGGAAACAGGAAGTTTACCTGCTGGCTGGACAAACATCCCTCCCCACGTGTAAACATGTCCACTCTAGGAATGTTGCACTTGACTGCTCTTGTGTTTCACATCCCACAGAATCTCCTCCCTTCCAGAGCAATAGAAAACAAGCTCGCTCCATCTTCCATGTGACAGCCCTTTGGATCTTTGAAGACAACGATCATCTCACCCCACAGTCCTCTCTTCTCCAGGCTAAACAACCACAACTTCCTAAACCAGGGAGTGGCACCATCACTGAGGTTTTGAGGTGCACATTTATGGATTTGCACTTGATGAATGAATGAACCAATTAACCAAATGAACGCAAATGAATGAAAATGGATGTTCTTTGCACCCCCTTCCTGGCCCAGTCACCATAACTTTAGGGGACGGTCCATAGATGAAGAAGAAGAAGAGGAGTTTGGATTTGATATCCTGCTTTATCACTACCCTAAGGAGTCTCAAAGCAGCTAACATTCTCCTTTCCCTTCCTCCCCCCCAACAAACCCGCTGTGAGGTGAGTGGGGCTGAGAGACTTCAGAGAAGTGTGACTGGCCCAAGGTCACCCATCAGCTGCATGTGGAGGAGCGGGGAAGCAAACCCGGTTCACCAAATTATGAGTCCACCGCTCTTAACCACTACATCACACTGATTTGAGCCTCTTCTGGTAGGGGCCATTTGTGACCATTCACTTCACACGGTGCAGAGGTAGACTGTGGAACTCCTTCCCACAGGAGGCAGAGATGACCACCGATTTGGATGGCTGTAAAAGAGGGCTGGACCAGTTCATGGAAGAGGAGAGGGCTATTGATGGCTACTATCCAGGACGGCTCTGCTCTGACTTCATGGTCAGAGGTAGCAATGCTTCTGAAGACCAACTGCTGGAAACTGCAGGAGGGGAGAGCTGCTTTTGTGCTCGAATCCTGATTGCTGGTTTCCCACAGGCATCTGGTTGGCCACTGTGAGAACAGGATGCTGGACTAGAAGGGCCACAGGCAGCAGCCTCCACTTATTTTATTATGGAGCCTCCAGGTCCTGCAGCAGTCTATCTGGATTCTTAGGGATATTTGGCCCCTGTGTGAACAGGATGCTGGACGACAAGCCTGATCCACTAGCATTCTTTGAATGCTCTTAAGTGAGAGCTGAGCAATGACAAACCTAGACAGCATCTTAAAAAGCAGAGACATCACCTTGCCAACAAAGGTCCGTATAGCAAAAGCTATGGTTTTCCCAGTAGTGATGTATGGAAGTGAGAGCTGGACCATAAAGAAGGCTGATGGCCGAAGAATTGATGCTTTTGAATTCTGGTGCTGGAGGAGACTCTTGAGAGTCCCATGGACTGCAAGAAGAGCAAACCACTCCATTCTGAAGGAGATCAGCCATGAGAGCTCACGGGAAGGACAGATCCTGCAGCTGAGGTTCCAAGTACTTTGGCCACCTCATGAGAAGAGAAGACTCCTGGAAAAGACCCTGATGCTGGGAAAGATGGAGGGCACAAGGAGAAGGGGACGACAGAGGACGAGATGGTTGGACAGTGTTCTTGAAGCTACCAGCATGAGTTTGACCAAACTACGGGAGGCAGTGGAAGAGAGGAGGGCCTGGCGTGCTCTGGTCCAGGGGGTCGCGAAGAGTCGGACACGACTAAACGACTAAACAACAACAAGTGCGAGCTGGCAGAACTGCCTCCAACTTGCTTCCCCTCTTAGCACAGCCCCACCTAGCAAGAAAGCAAATAGCGCAAGGCCCGAGGAGAGCTGTTCCAGAACGCCTTGAGCTTCCCTACCAAACGGCAAGCAGCTCAGATCCCGTTGCTCTGCCTGAAACGTGCTCTTGCCGCGAGAGCCGAGGTGAGCCAACTCCCCGTCGCAGACATGTCAGCCCTTTCAAAAGCTGCTTATCTCCACGAGTGCTCTTTGATAATGCCTTGTAAGCTTTGCCTGGGGGCCCTGTGTCTCGAGCAGCCGATCCGGGGAGTGCCGAACACGTCCCGCCATCTTGCCTTTCTGAAGACAAACCCGCCTCGCAGGTGTCACTTGTGAGGATGTAAGGAATATCAAAGTGCTCATGTAACTCCTCAGATAAAGGAGGACGTAATTATTGTTCCTGACCAAAGCTGGCAGGCAGATACAAAAGCCAGCCTTCGCTTTGCATCATCTCATCCACAGGGAAAGCTGGGAACTAGTCAATGATGTCCAAAGAATTGGTCCTGGTTCTCTGCTCATCAGGAGGTTGTCCTCGACCGAGGCCAAAGGCTGCCCATAATCTTCTCACTTCGCCGTTGGTTTATCCTGCAAAGTCTAGGTCGGCCTTTGCTGATTCGATGCCCTCCTGGTGTCTGCGACCAAGAGCAATAAAAGTTGTGTAGCAACAAAGTTTGTTGCCAACAAAGGTCCGTATAGTAAAAGCTATGGTTTTCCCAGTAGTGATGTATGGAAGTGAGAGTTGGACCATAAAGAAGGCTGATCGCTGGAGAATTGATGCTTTTGAATTATGGTGTTGGAGGAGACTCTTGAGAGTCCCATGCACTGCAAGAAGGTCAAACCTCTCCATTCTCAAGGAAACCAACCCTGAGTGCTCCCGGGAAGGACAGATCCTGAAGTTGAGGCTCCAATACTTTAGCCACCTCATGAGAAGAGAAGACTCCCTGGAAAAGACCCTGATGTTGGGAAAGATGGAGGACACAAGGAGAAGGGGATGGCAGAGGACGAGATGGTTGGATGGTGTTCTCGAAGCTACCAGCATGAGTTTGACCAAACTGCGGGAGGCAGTGGAAGACAGGAGTGCCTGGCGTGCTCTGGTCAATGGGGTCACGAAGAGTTGGACACGACTAAACGACTAAACAACAACAACAACAGCAGTGTAATGGACTCCCTCAGAAGGTGGGGGACTCTCCATCTCTGGAGGTTTTTAAGCAGCGGTTGGGGGGGCATATGATTTTGTGATAGGAATTTTATGGTCTTAGATATATGGTAATGTTCATAAGTGTACCAACCAAGCACGTACATAGATCAGCACAGGAAGACCAACCTGGAACCATTTTGATTCCTAAACTGAGTAAATGTTTTCTCGATAAGGTCAAAGTGAGAAACTTCCCCATTGTCTCTTTCCTCACAAATCCTGTCTTAAGGGCACATTTAAGATATGAATAGGGTGTGAGCCTGTGACATGGCTCAGGAACTAAGTATTTATCATTACAAAAGACTGACCAGGCTACCCAGGTAATCCAATCAAGTAACCTGCCAAACAGGAGATAAACAGCGACAGGAGAAAAACAACATTCAAATTTCTGCTTTAAGACCACCTTTTCTGTGATGTAGGTATGATGTATCTGAGGGGTGGTCTTGATCTACAGGGTGGCAATTTTAAAGTCTTTATAAGGCCTTGCATGCCATTTTTCTGGGTTCCTCCTCTCTCCTGCGTGTGAGGGGAGCACCCTGTTGCAACAGATCAATAAAGATCAGGCTTACTAGCTGCTTTGCTTCTCAATATTCTCTGGTTGGCCTCTGTTATTCTATCCTACCAATAGGGAACCTACGTAAGGACTCTATATGGGCTCTTGGATACCCCATAAGGGAAAAGGGCAATTTTTGTTTACAACAACAGCAATACCTCAAGGACTGCCTCTCCCCATATGAACCGACCAGGACCCTACATTCATCATCTGAGATGGGCAGTTCTTGGTTTGTTGTCTGTTTCTTATTTTTACTACAGCGGAACCTTGGTTGTCAAATATAATCTGTTCCGGAAGACCGTTCGACTTCCAAAACGTTCGACAACCGAGGCGCAAAGGGCTGCCTGCAATTTCAAGGGAGAAAATGCAGAAATGCGCCTCAATTTCTGAGACATGTCCCATAGGTACGAGGGTCCTAGGCCGCATAGGGCTTTAAAGGTCAAAACCAGCACCTTAAACCTGACCCTGTACTCCACTGGGAGCCAGTGCAGTTGGTAAAGCACTGGATGAATGTGATCCTGCGGCAAGGACCCCGTAAGATGCCCGCAAGCATAACATAAGGACCAGAGCTTCTTTCATCCTGTTATGTACTTAAGTTCTCACCCTGGGCCAGCAGGGGGATGCTGTAGATAGTTTTCACTCAGGTCCACATATGCAAATAAGGAATTGAAAGTGACGTTCAGTGATTGGATAGATACAGAAAGTTGTTACTGTTGCTTTGTAGTTGAGCTCTATATAAGCAGGCTGACTGAACCCTTCAGTTCAGTTCTGGCCTGTGAATAAACAAGAGCTGTTTGAAGAATCGCTGTGTCGTCTGATATGTTCACCCACAACTTAACACATCCAGTGGTTTACATTGCTGCCTCTGACTGTGGAGGCAGAGCAGAAGCCCTTTGTGGCTGGTAGCCATTGAGATAGCCCCCCCTCCCATTAATTTGCTGTATCCTCTTCTAAAGCCATTGAGGTTTTTGGCCATCGCTGCCTCCTGTGGGAGAGAGTTCCACAGTCTAGCTCTGTGCTGTGCAAAGAAGGACTCTTTCTTACCTGCTCTCAATCACCACTTAAGCTTTGCAAGATGTCCTGGGAGTGGCCTTACACACCAGTGACCAGCAGTGAGTTGGCAGTCTAGATTAGGAAAATAATCTGGAAGTAATGCACCCAGTTCCTTTGCAGAAGAAGCCAGCCTCCTTATGCATGTGCTATTCCATATTGGAATTATAAATGTGCAACTCAACAGCCATACCTATGTCACACACCTGCGAGGGACCTCATGCAACCTTTGACCTTTGCCCAAGTGATGCGACGAGGAGGGAGGGATGCCAACTTTCGCCAAAGTGGGGTGATTAAATTCCTAAAGACCATCCAGCTTTCTACATCACTTTCAGATTATTTTTAAAGTCCTTGTGAAAATGCATTAGCATTTTAGCACTGACTTCTCCTTCTATACAGTTTTGTTTTTGTGGTTTCCCCAAATCTACGCCGTTCTGAGCACAAGTTTATCCCTAAAATGATGGGTTTGGGTATGCTATTTTCCCTGAAATGGATATTTGTATGGACGCTTTCCTCTAATAAATGTATGCACAGCGTTTGGTCAGAAAACTGCACCACAAGATTCAGGCACAACCAACTGTCCATCTTTGTAGACAAAAGAGTTGCCTTTGAAATATGTTGGGCTCCATAGACAGAGTTCTGTGCCCCTCTTGCCTTTCCCTCGACACCCTCAACAACCAGGGAAAAAAACACAACGTGAAGCTCATGCAGCAGATGTGATGACACCGCAGGTGTCTGTCTCTGCTGCAAAACATCTCTCCTTTTTTTTTTGCTGAGATTCCTGCAGCCCTCCATCCTCAACCGGGACCACGTCTTTCATCTTCCTGTTCAGCTCTGCATCCCAGAGAGCTGCAAATTCATTTTGCACATCGAAAACCCTCTTTTGTACATCGCACGTCGCCCCCCCAAAAAAACTTCTAATTGACAGAGACAAAAAGTGAGTTGAAACAGGAGATGAGATTGGAGTTGGGCAAAAGGCACCTCGCCCTGCTTCGGAAGAAGCACCTGAGACTCTCACCTGCCGGATGCCCAGGTGGTACGTGAGGATGCGGTCCACGGCGTCTGGGTTCATCTGAGTCCACTCGAGGCTGTAGGCGTAGACGCGGGCCCGATTCTGCCACAGCGGGTTGTACGTGTCGTAGTAGAACTCCGGTGCATAGGCTTTGCCTGCGGGGAAGAGAGGAACGAGGGTCAGGCGAGAGGAGGCGATGCCAAAGCAGCAAGAAAACAAACAGTGTGGGCACATCATGTTTCTAGATTATGGGTAGGCAACCTAAGGCCCAGGGGACCGGATCCAGCCCAATTGCCTTCTCAATCCGGCCCACGGATGGTCCGGGAATCAGCGTGTTTTTACATGAGCAGAATGTGTCCTTTTATTTAAAATGCATCTCTGGGTTATTTGTGGAGCATAGGAATTTGTTCATTATTTTTTTCAAAATATAGTCTGGCCCACCACATAGTCTGAGGGACAGTGGACCAGCCTAGGGCTGAAAAAGGTTGCTGACCCCTGTTTCAGAATCTCATGGGCAGCCAAACTAAGGCCCAGGGGCTGGATCCAGCCCAGTCGTCTTCTAAATCCAGCCTGCGGACGGTCCAGGAATCAGCGTGTTTTTACATCAGTAGAATGTGTGCTTTTATTGAAAATGCATCTCTGGGTTATTTGTGGGGCATAGGAATTCATTCATTCCCCCCCAAAAAAATATAGTCTGGCCCCCACAATGTCTGAGGGACAGTGGACCGGCCCCCTGCCTCCCCAAGCCACATTCTAAAAGGGTGTTGGATGTCAATCAAATCAACCAAAGGCCTGGTTAAAAAGGAACATTCATTATACACCTTCATTATACACCTTTAGGCGCCAGGCAAACTTCCCTGGGGAGAGCATTCCACAGATGGGGAGCCACTGCAGAAAAGGCCCCGTTCTCGCGTTGCCACCCTCTGGACCTCTCGATGAGGAGGCACATGAAAGAGGGTGTCAGAAGATGATTTCAGGGTCTGGGTAGGTTCATATGGGAAGAGGTGGTCCTTGAGGTATTGTGGCCCTGGGCCAATTAAGGCTTTATAGGTCAAAACCAGCGCTTTGAATTGGTCCCGGAAACTAATCGGTAGTCATTGCCATGAGTTTTTCTAACAGATGAAGTTCAAACTATAAACATTCATAAATAAAATACACAGTAAAGCAATCCCATTAAAAAACACACCACAGCAATTAAGAACAAGAGGCTCAGGTTGAACGATGGAAGGTGTGCTGGTGTATGGTGTAAACAGATAATAATAATAATAATAATAATAATAATAATAATAATAATTTATTATTTATACCCTGCCCATTTGGCTGAGTTTCCCCAGCTACTCTGGGTGGCTCCCAATTGAGTGTTAAAAACAATACAGCATTAAATATTAAAAGCTTCCCTGAACAGGGCTGCCTTCAGATGTCTCCTAAAAGTCTGGTAGTTGTTTTTCTCTTTGACATCTGGTGGGAGGGCGTTCCACAGGCGTTCCGCGGGTGCCACCACCGAGAAGGCCCTCTGCCTGGCTTGCTGTAACCTCGCTTCTCGCAGCAAGGGAACCGCCAGAAGGTCCTCGGCGCTGGACCTCAGTGTCTGGGCTGAACGATGGGGCTGGAGACGCTCCTTCAGGTATCCTGGGCCTTTGAGGCAGTTTAGGGCTTTAAAGGTCAGCCCCAACACTTTGAATTGTGCTCGGAAACATACTGGGAGCCAGTGTAGGTCTTTCAGGACCGGTGTTATGTGGTCTCGGTGGCCACTCCCAGTCACCAGTCTGGCTGCCGCATTCTGGATTAGTTGTAGTTTCCGGGTCACCTTCAAAGGTAGCCCCACGTAGAGCGCATGGCAGTAGTCCAAGCGGGAGATAACTAGAGCATGCACCACTCTGGCCAGACAGTGCTCGGGCAGGGAGGGTCTCTGCCAGTGTGGTGTAGTGGTTAAGAGCAGTAGTCTTGTAATCTGGGGAACCGGGTTTGAGTCTCCGCTCCTCCACATGCAGCTGCTGGGTGACCTTGGGCCAGTCACACTTCTTTGAAGTCTCTCAGCCCCACTCACCTCACAGAGTGTTTGTTGTGGGGGAGGAAGAAAGGAGAATGTTAGCTGCTTTGAGACTCCTTAAAGGGAGTGAAAGGCGGGATATCAAATCCAAACTCTTCTTCTTCTTCTTCAGCCTGCGTACCAGATGCCTCTTCCAGAGCCGGCAGAATGCCAATATAGATGGGGACTCTTGCATTTCATTACGGAGTACATGCCACATTTTATTTATCTATTCAGTTTTTATACTGCCCTTCATCCAAAGACCACAGGGCGAATCACAGCATAACAATGCAAAATAACAACACAAAAGACATAATAAAGAAAGGCTGCATTGCGGGGGTTTGACCAGATGACCCTCAGGGTCCCTTCCAACTCTACAATTCTGACTCTAAAATGGAGTGGGTTTTATTTGCTGATCTTAATGCTTGGTGCCTCAGCTCGCTCGTTTTCCTCTTCCCTCCCCATCCCTGTTTCCTTTTGTGCCGTGTCATTTTAGACAGAGGGCAAGGACCGTGTTGCATTCCTTGACACATAAGCTGCTCCAGGAGCCCTTCTGAGCAAAGAGAGGGAGATAAGCGGCCTTTGAATAAATCAATGAACAATAAACGTCTGAACGAGCCCTTTAAACACATTTAAGCAAATAACAACGTTGCCCTGAATTGTGACATGTATCAATATTAGTGGAGTGTAGGATATTTTCTCCCACAGGAAATGGAATTCGTGGTCCCTTTTAGGTTGTGATCCCCAACAGAGCTGGCCTCTGCCTTGAAAGGAGATGCTCTGGGGCGCCTGTCAGCCCAGCCAGGAGAATTTCAGTTAAAATTCCACTCGCAAAGCACCTTCCATCTCCACGGCATTTGTTATCGACTGCAAGCCTGGCGCTTCCAAAGAGCAGGGGAAGAAAGCGCAGGATCTCTCGAGTTCAAAGAGGTTTCTCCTGCCCCGTGAGCAGGAGGATCAATACGGAACAGAGATTGCGCTGCTGAACTCAAAGCAACACAAGTGTGTGTGTGGGAGGGAGGGAGGCAGTGAGAGAGAGCTGGAAATTGTGGACTTCCAATGAATCATTGCTGCAACAATTCTTCAACATCAACTTCGTTCGCCTGGTCATGTTCTGTGGATGCCTGATGATCGTCTTCCAAAGCAACTACTCTATTCTGAACTTTAAAATGGAAAGCATAATGCTGGTGGTCAACAAAAGAGGTTTAAAGACTCTCTCAAGGCAAATCTTAAAAAATGTAGTATAAACACTGACAACTGGGAAACACTGGCCTGCAAGCGCTCCAGTTGGAGAACAGCCTTGACCAAAGGTGTCCTGGGCTTTGAAGACATTCGAACTCAGGATGCAAGGGAGATTCCATCAATGGTGTCTCCAAAAATTTTTACACATCACTTGGGAAGACAGGCAAACTAATGCCAGTGTACTGAAGAAGCAAAGATCGCCCGTGGTGAAGCAATGATTCTTCAACATCAACTTCATTGGACTGGTCATGTTGTGCAGATGCCTGATGATTGTCTATTCTGAACTTTAAAATGGAAAGCATAATGCTGGTGGTCAACAAAAGAGGTTTAAAGACTCTATCAAGGCAAATCTTTAAAAAATGTAGTATTAACACCAACAATTGGGAACCACTGGCCTGCGAGCGCTCCAACTGGAGAACAGCCTTGACCAAAGGTGTCATGGGCTTTGAAGACACTCAACTCAGGACGCGAGGGAGAAAGTGCAAAGAGGAAGACACGCTTGGCAAATCCAAGCGTCTCAACCGGCTTATTGCAACACAGCTCCCTGTTTTGGTCCTGGAGGAAGAACTGTGAGGGGAGAGACTTTGTCAGGCAAGGCCTCCTTCCATCTGCCTTGCCCTACCCTCTAGTCTCTGCTTCTCAATTTGTATTGTATTATTTTATTTACCATGGCTTGCTGTTGTTTTATTGATTATAGTTTAGAAATTATTTATTGTAACTGTTGAGTGGATTTCTGTTTAACTTTTATATGTTGATATTGTTATTTTATACTATTCTAATGATTGTTGAATGTTAGTTTTTTGATGTAGGTTGCTTATTTTAAAGCTATGTTTTATTATCACATTTTTGTATTGCATTAGTGTGTTATAAGGTGTACATTTTTTCTTTCTTCAGCTTGTAAGCCGCCTTGAGTATTGTAAGATAGAAAGATGGTACAGTGCTACCTTGGGTTACAGACTCCACTAACCCAGAAATAGTATCTCGGGTTAAGAACTTTGCTTCAGGATGAGAACAGAAATCATGCAGCGGTGGCGCCGCGGCAGCAGGAGGCCCCATTAGCTAAAGTGGTGCTTCAGGTTAAGAACAGTTTCAGGTTAAGAACGGACCTCCGGAACAAATAAAGTACTTATCCCGAGGTACCACTGTATACAAATATGATGATGATGATGATGACAAAGCATGAAATGTAAGCCTCTTGGGGATGTGAGAAAGTACCTTATAATGAGCCAAACCATTGGTCCATTTTGCTCAGTATATCCTTCACTGTCTTGCAGCATCCCTCCAGGGGGTTGAGGCAGGAGATGCTCTTAGCCCTACTAGGAAATGCCGCTAGGACCATCTGCATTCAAAGCAGATGTTCTGACCCTACAGGAACCAGAATCTAGCACAAAAAGGGTATTGGAACTGATTCAAGAATTTGGGCAAGTAGCAGGTTTTAAGCTGAATAAGATGAAAACTAAGGTTTTAGAGAAAAATTTAACTGTAAATGAGCGAGAGAAATTTCAGGAAGAGACAGGACTAACATTGGTTAAGAAAGTGAAATATTTAGGGGTTAATATGACTGCTAAAAATGTAAATTTATTTAAGGATAATTATGAAAAATGTTGGATTGAAGTGAAAAAAGACTTAGAAATATGGTCAAATTTGAAGTTATCATTGTTGGGCCGAATTGCTGTGATAAAAATGAATGTGCTGCCAAGGATGTTGTTCTTGTTTCAAACATTACAAATTTTGGATAAGATGGATTGTTTCAAGAAGTGGCAGAAAGATATTTCCAGATTTGTTTGGTAGGGCAAGAAGCCTCGAATAAAATTTAAGATATTAACTGATGCTAAAGAAAGAGGTCGATTTGCCCTGCCAGACCTAAAACTCTATTATGAATCAGCTGCTTTTTGTTGGCTGAGAGAATGGCTGCTACTTGAAAACACTGATGTGTTGGATCTAGAAGGTTTCAATAATGTATTTGGTTGGCATGCATATCTGTGGTATGACAAGGTTAAAGCACATAAAGCGTTTAAAAATCATATTGTCAGAAAAGCATTGTTTAATGTATGGATAAGATATAAAGATTTGTTAGAAAAGAAAACCCCAAGATGGTTGTCACCAATGGAAGCGAAGGCACAGAAAAACTCAATATGGAGGCCAAATGGCCGAAATATTAGGAAATTCTGGAACAAGAGGAGACAGACTAAAATTGCAGAGCTTTGAAAAATTGAAAAATAGAGTGCGAGATTGGCTCCATTATTATCAAATAATGGAGGCATATAATTTGGACAAAAAAGTTGGTTTCCAGGTGGAAAAATCAAAATTGGAAACAGAATTGTTAGATTCCAAAATCAAGAATTTGTCAAAAATGTATAACTTGCTGTTGAAATGGTACACTCAGGATGAAACAGTGAAATCAGCTATGATTAAATGGGCACAAGATGTTGGACATAATATAATGATGGCTGACTGGGAACAGTTATGGACCACAGGTATGAAATTTACGGCATGTAATGCCCTAAGAGAAAACTTAATGAAAATGATTTATAGGTGGTACATGACACCAGTCAAGCTTGCAAAAAATTATCATATGCCTGACAATAAATGTTGGAAATGCAATGAGACTGAAGGCACATTCTTTCACCTTTGGTGGACGTGCCCAAGGATTAAGACATTCTGGGAGATGATTTATAATGAAATGGAAAAGGTATTTAAATATACCTTCTTGAAGAAACCAGAGGCCTTTCTCCTAGGCATGGTCGGCCAAATGGTGCCAAAGAAGGATAGAACCTTTTTTATGTACGCAACAACAGCAGCAAGAATACTCATCGCGAAGTATTGGAAGACACAAGATTTGCCCACCCGGGAAGAATGGCAGATGAAGTTGATGGACTACATGGAACTGGCGGAAATGACTGGCAGAATCCGAGACCAGGGAGAAGAGTTGGTGGAAGAAGACTGGAAAAAGTTTAAAGATTATCTACAGAAATATTGTAAAATTAATGAATGTTAGAAAAATGTTGAAATGAAGTTATATGGCTTTAGTAGAAATATTATAAGGAATTAAGTACAGATAGGTTAATAGAGTATTAAAGGGAAAAAATAAGGTTAGAATGAGTTAAGATAATTATAGGATAGAAAACAGAGGAGGATGGAAAGGAATTGCTGAAATAATTAACAGAAGTGGAATACAAAAAGGGAGGTGTGAGGAGGTCGTGGAAATAAGTGAATGAAAGATGGGATAATGAAATTGGTTGATTTATCTTATTGTCTTAGTCTTGTTTTGTTAATTTGATGTGTTGTATTGTATTGGTTTTTTTTCTTTTTTCTTTTAGTGTTTTTGGAAAAATAATAAATATTATTTTTTTTTTTTTAAAAAAAACAAAGCAGATGTTCTGCCACGGAGCTATAGCCTTCCAGGGGTTCCAGAAACCCAGGCCACATCCCAAAGGCCTTAATGGATATGTTGTGTGTTCGTTTAGCACTCTCTGCGTTTTCCATAAATACACACACAGAGAGAGACAGGGAGACACAGCGATTAGTCTGTCAGGGTGCGGTGGAGGAAATGAACTGGGGAACGGCGCTCCGGCAGATGGCGGGGAAGCATTTCCTCTCCCCCGGAAAGATCAGGCGCATCAAGTCTCAAAGCCTCATTCTCATAATTACCAATTTGGCAAAGAATTCGAGGCAGGGAAAGCAGACACAACTGTTTACACTTCCCTTTCTTAAATGGCTCAGGGAAGAAAGAGCATTTTTGCATTCATCCACATTCTCGGAGGAAGAGATCGCAGCGTCATATCGTAGAACTGGGTGGCAGTAATTGGGGATGGTTTGTTTTTTAAACAACAACAACAAAGTTTGTAAAGAAAATAAAAAGGGCTGCAGAGTTGGGAGGGGGTCCCAAAGTTCAACTTTCCCCCCTCCCTCTGCAATGAAGCAATTGTTAAGCATAATTGTTTAATATTCACTGAAATGGGAATGCCAGTGGTAGGGGTGAAAGGGTTTAACTCTAAGGGACTCTGAGCTTTAACTGAGTGGATAATTAATGATTGTTTTCTGCTAGCCAACGCGTGAGTGTTTAACCTTAGATCACATGAGAGGTATTGAATTGCAAATCCGCCATCCTGGAAAGGGGGTGGCTGGAGTCTTTGTTCTCAGACTCCATGGAAGAAAGGCAGCTCTCCAGGAAAACAGCCTCAGGCTGGAGTGCAGATTGTGGGGAGAGACAGGCCTCTGCTTCTAGGACTGTTGGAATTAGTTCATTTGTTGTAAGATGCTGAGTTTATTCCTCAGACTGGCATATGTCCTGTGGATGCATCATTTGATGTTTCTGTATCATTTTGAAGAAAGTTCTGCAAGTGAAGTTTTGAATAATACCTAATGGGTCTGGAGAATGTTTCATTTCCAAAAAAAGTTTTTATGTATCCAGTCACATCAAACTGCAGTAGGAATCACAGATGATCACAGATGGCCGTCTGTGGGGAGGACAGTTTTGCTCAAGAATTTGCTCCTTTTGGGATCGCCACTAAGAGCACAAGATCCCAAGAGGAGTGTGATAGATCAGACCAGAGCCCATCGACTCCAATATCCTGTTCTCTATGTCGGAAACTCACATAGTTCTGAGAGCCAGTGTGGTGTAGTGGTTAAGAGCGGTAGACTTGTAATCTGGTGAACCAGGTTCACGTCTCCGCTCCTCCACATGCAGCTGCTGGGTGACCTTGGGCTAGTCATACTTCTCTGAAGTCTCTCAGCCCCACTCACCTCACAGAGTGTTTGTTGTGGGGAAGGAAGGGAAAGGAGAATGTTAGCCGCTTTGAGACTCCTTCGGATAGTGATAAAGCGGGATATCAAATCCAAACTCCTCCTCCTCCTCCTCCTCTTCTTCTTCTTCTTCTTTGCTTCTGAATACCAGTTACTGGTGACCACAGGAGGGTGGGGAGCGCTCTGGTGCTCACGTTCTGCTTTCAGGTTTCGCATTGGGGGCATCTGGCTGGCCCCTGGGAGAAAAGTGTTGGATTAGATGAGCCATTGGCCTCATCCTGCAGGATCTTCTTAGCTTCTTATGTAGGTCCATCCTCAAGCTTCATTACACAACTGTTTCAGGTGTTTGGTTTCCAGTGCATCACCTGACCCAGGTGCACAGGGAGCTTGTCAGGAATGCTTTAGCTGTGATTCACGCACTGCAGGGGCTGGGCTGGATGACCTTTGGGGGTCCCTTCCAACTCCATGACTCCACGAGCCTCCTGGACGCTCCTTGTGGGGTTTAGGGCCCTGGCTGTTCCTCAAACTGCAATTCTGAAGATGGGTGGGGGGCGAATTCGCTGACCCCCTCGCAAGTTTTGGTTCCTCTCCTTACGAGGCCTGTGGTTTATAAATCCTAAACAAAGCTGTATATTTACCCTGCGAGTTACGGCCGGCTGCAGCCAGCCTGAAAGATGCTTTGTATTACCCGCTTGGCCTTTATTATGCAATATATATTTTATGAAGAGCTGATAATAAATGCAGATGCAAATTCTGCTCCTCTCTCTGTGCAACGGGGAAGGCATGCTGTCATTTGAATTAGATACACAAAGGGTGATTTTCACATCTTCAAGCAGCCGGGGTCTGTTGGAGGAGACCATTCTTCACATGGCAAGTCACTCCCCACTTTCCTGCACCAACTGATCCTCTCTCCCTTTTTGCTGCTTCCATTAATTACACAATTATGGAACTTAAGATGGGCACAGTGGGATCTCTGGAGCAGGCGCAATCCTAAGAAGTGGAGTGAGTTTCTTCGATGTTCCTCTCTTTCCTTTTCCCAGATAACAGAAAGTCCACAGAACCTTCCGTGCCAAAACTAAGCAAACGTGACCCCTGCTGGATGAAGAGGGAAAGAGCAGGGACTCATCTGCCTTTCCTGCAGCACAGAATCAAAGAACTGAAGATGACCTCCAGAGGTCATCTAGTCCAACCCCAGCAATCTTGTTTCCCCAACTCCAGCTTCATCCTCCCATTGCTAAAAAAGGTGTGTCACTGGCTTATCCTAGAGACCAGGGACAGATCTGTTAATTTCAGATTCTCTCAATCTTCCCATTCCAACAACAACAACAACAATAATAATAATTTTTATTTATACCCCGCCCTCCCTGGCCAGAGCAACCCAGGTCAAAATGCAATTTAAAATGCAGCTTCATTTTAAAAGTAGCTGTCAGGGAACTGCCATCGGCTAAGGGGGGAGAGGGGAAAAGCCGGATGGATTACAGAGAGCCCCCAAAGATCGTGGGAAGCAGCACCTCCTCAGCGGAGGAGAGTAGCCACGCCTCCAGCGGAGAGGAGCTTCAGGACTCGGAGGAGGCGAGGCGGTGCCAGGACACCTTGCCTGGGCAAAGCAGGGAGGAGAGAGGTCCTCCGTTACCCACGCCCTCCCTGCGCAGTAGGCTTCCGCGCAGAGTGGGGAGGCGCAGATTGGGCGTCAAGAAACTACTCTGCTGGGGAAGGTTTATGGAACGCCCACTCTCAGACTCTGCCAGTGAATGAGGGAGCCACGGAAGAGTGGCGTTCTGCATGGTGAAGGGTTTATTGCCACCAATAGCAAGGCTTTACAGCCGACCAGGGAGGCATTTGCCTGATTGCTCTCAAGCAACCCCCTGATATCCTTACAGCAGCCCATAGATCAAAACCATAAGGGGAGGGAAACATAATGGTCCAAACCAAAGGCCAGGCGGAACTGCTCTGTCTTGCAGGCCCTGAGGAAAGATGTCAAGTCCCGCAGGGCCCTGGTCTCTTGTGACAGAGCGTTCCACCAAGTTGGGGCCAGTACTGAAAAGGCCCTGGCCCTAGATGAGACCAATCTAACCACCTTGCGACCTGGAACCTCCAAAGTGTTGTGATTTGTGGACCTTAAGGTCCTCCGCGGTGCAGACCAGGACAGGCGGTCCCGCATTCCTGCAGCAACTTGGCAATTACTATTTCTATAAATCCTCATGAAAATTCATCAGCATTACAATGAGAATTTCTGCTGATAAATACATTTTCTAGGCAGCTTTGGTTAATAGATCCATTTTTTAATTTTTTTCTGCAAAGCAATTTGCCCCAATAAAACATATTTCTATATACACAGAGAGAAACATTTACTCTAGGATATCCATTTCCATACCCATTCCTTGGCTGGAGAACTGCACCGTGCAATTCAGAGAAGTGTGAATATCAGAGGGTGCATCGCATTGCATGGCGGGGGTTGGACTAGATGACCGTTTTGGTTCCTTCCAACTCCACAGTTCTATGACGCTCTGTACATTTCCTGCAACAAGCCAACTGGTCATGTTGTGCAGATGCCTGATGATTGTCTATTCCGAACTTAAAAATGGAAAGCGTAATGCTGGTGGTCAACAAAAGAGGTTTAAAGACTCTCTCAAAGCAGATCTTTAAAAATGTAGTATCAACATCAACAACTGGGAAACACTGGCCTGCGAGTGCTCCAGTTGGAGAACAGCCTTTACCAAAGGTGTCCTGGGCTTTGAAGACACTCAAACTCAGGACGCAAGGGAGAAACGTGCTAAGAGGAAGGTACGCTTGACAAATCCACACCGGGATCAACCGGGATGGAAACTAATGTCCCCACTGTGAAAGGACGTGTGGATCCAGAATTGGCCTCCACAGTCACTTACGGACTCACTGTTAAAACCGTGTTCATGGGAGACAATCTTACTCGGCTACAAGTGATCGCCAAAGAAGAAAAAGCCCTCTGACCTTGGAGAAGATGGGGAGGTGACAACATAGCCATCTATCCAAATATCTTAAAAGCTGTCACATGGAAGAGGAAGCAAGCTTGTTCTCTCCTGCTCTGGACGGTAGGACTCGAACCCATGGCTTCAAATTACAAGAAAGGAGTTTTTGACTAAACATCAGGAAGAACTTTCTGACAGCAAGAGCTGTTCCACCGTGGAACAGTCTCCCTCAGATGGTGATGGACTCTCGTTCCTTGGAGGTATGATGGCCACCAGTTGGGGATTCTTCACTTGCAACTCCTGCATTGCGGGGGGTTGGACTAGATGACTCTGGGGTCCCTTCCAGCCCTGCAGTTCAATGATTCTATCTCCCAGGCATCCGACCACCTTCTCTCAAGAGATGGATGGAGCTCCACAGCTGAACAATGTTCCTGCGAGGCTCAGAGGCCATGTGGAGCACCTTTACAGTTTATGAGCCACTGGGATTTGGAGCCCAGTCCATTCAGACCATGCAAAAATTAATTACCGTCCTGAGCCTCCTGTGACGGAGAGGCAGCCTGCCAGGCTCACGTTTCTGATTTACCTTGCGCAGACACAAAGCCCTATAATCAGCGTGTCGGCTGCGTCAAATAGACGTGACAAAGCGTCTTTGAAAAGACCCACAGCACTAATTTACTGGAAGCTTTGAACACTTAAAACAGAGTTTTGGCTGTGGGAGGAAATGTACAGGGTGGGCTTAATCCTGCCCTGACATTTGGCGGCGGCGGCGAGGTCAGTGTGATGATGGAAGTGAAAGGAGAGATACAGGTGTGTTTCTGTTTAAACTGGAGCTCGTGGGTGTGTGGGGGTCATTGATGGATCAAGTGCTTTAATAACTGAAAAATAAAGGAACCGGCAGTATTAAATAGTCTGTGGTTTAATGAACAGCCTTTAGTTATTCCTGCAGACTGTAGTTTGGTCAGGCTGTGTCTGTTGCAAAATAATTAGACATCTCCTTGCTGCCATATTGTGCTTTCCTGAACCCACAAAAGACCCCTTTCGAGTTTGGCTCCTCGTGGGTTTGGTTTGATATGTCTATAGACCCTCTCCTTATCTATTCTGGGATGCCCTCTGAAGTCAGAATTGTGGCGTGGCGGCTCAGGATTAAATATGAAACCCTGGCACATGTCTGCCCATTTCCTAAACTAGACATGGTAGATTGGGATTGAGGTGGAAGGTTGCGATCCAGCAGCATAAAAATAAATAATCCCATTGTAGGTTGCATCAATTGAAGTGTCACGTCCAGATCAAGTGAAGCAGGGATGGCGTTGCCCCACTGGCACAGACACTTTCACCTGGGTTGTGTGGTAGTACTCGTGAAGCAGTAGTTGGTTCCTGTGAGATCTGGCGAGATTTTGGTGAGGTCTCACCAGAAACCGGCACCACTTCAGGCTCTGCTTCTCCACAACTGGTGGTGGTAGCATGGCAGGCAGGGCACTCAAATGGGTGCCACCCTATGGTATTCTGCTGCCCGAGGCAGCGGTTGCCTCAGCCTGCCTCATGCGTGGTCCGGCTCTGAAGGGAAGTCATAGTACCACTCTGTTCAACCTTGGTCAGACCACACCTGGAATACCGTGTCCAGTTCTGGGCACCACAATTTAAGAAGGATGTGGACAAGCTGGAAGGTGTGCAGAGGAGGAGGACCAAGAGGGTCAAGGATCTGGAAACTAAGCCATATGAGGAATGGTTGAAAGAGCTGGGTATGTTTTCTCCTGCTCTGGAGGGGAGTGTTAGATTTCTGTTATGCCACTGTGCAGTTTTTGGAGTCACAAGACTCTATTGACATTCCAGACATTCCAGACTGCTGGAAGTCTCACGGGAGATGGATGTTGATGTTACTGGTTTCCTGTTTCTTTGTGCCTTTTCTTCTCTCTCTCACAGAGAGAGCAGTCGCATATTCTTTTCTGTCCTGCATAGTTAGGAATAAACGTAGCAATGTAGCACACATTTCCCGGCTCCTTCTGCTATTTGGATACTCTGCGTAATGGGGGAGCGTGCCTAAGCCTCATCAAAGGCTTAGGTCATTAATCATCGTCGGAGTAGAGCCTAGATGGATTCCGAAGACACAACTGGAGGAGGAGAGGCATTTCGGTCGTACGGAACCCCCGACACGGAGGACCCGAACCAATGGCTCAAAGTTGCAAGAAAGGAGATTCCGACTAAACATTTGGAAACACTTTCTGACAGTAAGAGCTGTTCAGCAGTGGAACGGACTCCCAGGAGGGATGGTGGACTCTCCTTCCTTGGAGGTTTTTAAGCAGAGGTTGGATGAACCACCTGTCAGGGATGCTTTAGCCGAGATTTCTGCATTGCAGGGGGGTTGGACTAGAGCAGAGGTCCCCAAACTAAGGCTCATGGGCCGGATAAGGCCCGAGGGACTCGTTTATCTAGCCCGCAGCAACCCCCGCCACTTGCTGCTGCCACCCACTCTTACCGGTGCTGCACGGCACGGCTGCCCACGTCCGGGTCGGAGGAGCACCAGAAATAGCTTGTGCGCATGTGCAAGAGTTATTTGCGCATGCACAAGTATTATTTGCGGTGCACATCTGGGTCGGAGGAGGCCTGTACACATGCGCCCAAGCTATTTCTGGTGCTCCTCCGACCCAGAAGTGCGCCAGAAATAGTGTGTGCGCACGTGTATGGGCACACGCTCCCCCACCCTCCTGCCCGCCATGCAAGCGGTGCTGGAGACACTGGCCCAAGGCATGGTAAGTTTGCTGACCCCTGGACTAGAGGGCCCTTCCAACTCATTATCTTCTACCATGTCCCCATTTACCGTCGTTTCTCATAAACTCAAAAGCCAGGCAAACTCCGGGAAGAACGTTGATCTCTTTGCATAGGCTGGCTCTCCGAACTGCCGACTGAATGAGGAGGTGGCACATGAAGGTCCCGACATGGTGCCCAAGACATCACAGAACATTTGCCGGGTGACTCAGCCGGACCCAAAAGGTCACGTCGTGAGAGCTCTGATGTGTTAAACTGGCTGTGTGAATTGAACCAGAGCCTCAGAGCATCAAAGGTGAGGGATGGCTTGGTTTGAACTTTGCCTGTTGGAGGGTCAGAGCTTCAAAGAGGAAGCAGATACGTGGCCTGCAGGACTCTGAAACGGCCACCCTGAACGGCACAGCTAGGGAAAAAGAGACTTCTGTTCTCCCTGTCCTTGCAGGAGGTTTAAACATCGCAGGAACCGTCCTTAAGGCTCCTATGGAAACTTATAATTTACTCTGCTGGTTTATAGCCTCCAACTTTCATTTGGACTTAAAAGCGGAAGCTAATAACTAAGAGTCAGTCTGATAATCAAATCTCCCTTTGCAGGAAGGCCAGGGCAGGCAGGAGAGAATTACATGGGATTTGTTCTCATGGCCCCACAAGGAAACACATTCAATTCAGTGCCATCATTTACAGTGGATGTCTCTGAGGTACTCAGTGGACTTGAGGGTACCAGCTGCCCAGGGGGTTCCAGAAAGAGAATGTTGCAAGCCCCCGGCATGGAACCTGAAACCTTCTTCATGCAAATCAGGTGCTTTATAGTTTAACGGTCTGTGGCCCTTCCCCTTATCTAACGCTGTCTTGTTTGGACCTTTCTTCTAAAAACCTGAAGGTTGCAAATGCAACAATTTGCATTGAAAATGAACACTTTCCCACTGAACTTTGGTCCTTCTGCAAAAATAAATACAGTGGTATCTCAGGTTAAGTACTTAATTCGTTCCCGAGGTCCGTACTTAACCTGAAACTGTTCTTAACCTGAAGCACCACTTTAGCTAATGGGGCCTCCAGCTGCCGCCGCGCCACCAGAGCACGATTTCTGTTCTCATCCTGAAGCAAAGTTCTTAACCTGAAGCACTATTGCTGGGTTAGCGTCTATAACCTGAAGCGTATGTAACCTGAGGTACCACTGTACAGCAAGGGGCCTCAGAAGAAAAGAAAGATACCCAAAGAAAAAAGTAGATGAACCCAAAGTTGGCAACTTGTTTAAGGATATATCAAAAGCCTTCTGAATGTGGTTTTTCCAAGGAGAAACAAGCCCAGGGAAGAGGCACTTTATAAAAATCATGCACTGAGTGGAGAACGTGGATACAGAAAGGGTTTTCTCTGTTGTAATAAGAGAACTCGTGGAAATCCATTGAAGCCGATTGCTGTAAGGTTCCGGACGGATAAAAGAAAGCACTTTTTCACACAGCGCCTAGCAGCACTCGCTCCCCCAGGAGGCAGCGATGGCCACCCACTTAGATGGCTTTGAAAGAGAAGGAGGCAAATTGGTGGAGGAGGAAAAGACTATTGGCTGCTACAGCCGGGATGGCTCTGCTCTGACTCCACAGTTGGAGGTAGGGATGCTTTTGAATGCCGGTTGCTGGAAAACCCAGGAGGGGAGACCACATAACACCAGTCTTGAAAGACCTACATTGGCTCCCAGTACGTTTCTGAGCACAATTCAAAGTGCTGGTGTTGACCTTTAAAGACCTAAATGGCCTCAGTCCAGTAGACCTGAAGGAGCGTCTCCACCCCCATCATTCAGCCGAGACAATGAGGTCCAGCTCCAAGGGCCTTCTGGCGGTTCCCTCCCTGCAAGAAGTGAGGTTGCAGGGAACCAGGCACAGGGCCTTCTTGGTAGTGGTGCCCGCCCTGTGGACCGCCCTCCCATCAGATGTCAAAGAGATAAAGAACTACCTGACTTTTAGACGACATCTGAAGGCAGCCCTGTTTAGGGAAGCTTTTAATATTTGATGAATTATAGTCATATTTCATGTTACGTCCGCTTCATGTTATGTTCTTTCAGGATACGTCCAGTGATGACCCGGAAGTACTGGAAAGGGTTATTTCCGGGTTTCGCCGTTCGTGTATGAACAGGCGCACAAAATGACGTCACGCGCATGTGCAGAAGCGGCAAATTTCATCCCGCCCATGCGCAGATGCGCCGCTGCGGGTTGCGCTCTTTTCATGTTGCAAACGAGCTTCCGGAACGGATCCTGTTTGCAACCAGAGGTACCACTGTATTGTATTTTAATATTTTGCTGGAAGCTGCTCAGATGGGTGGGGTATAAATAATATATTATTATTATTATTATTATTATTATTATTATTATTATTATTATTATCTCGTGCTCAAATCCCACTTGCAGGTTTCCCCCATGCATTTGGTCGTCCCCAGTGAGGACAGGGTAGGTGACTCGAGGGGCCATTGGGCTAATGCAGCAGGATCTCACGTTCTGAAGCCTCTCAGCCCTACCACAGACAGGAAATGGCCCTTATGGTTTAAAAACAAAACACTCAACATGAACACAAGACTGTTTGCAACCTCCTGAGCCCACTCTGTAAACAGTTGTCTGCCAGAGGGCACAATCGTGATGTTTTAAAGACCTTGTTCTACAAGTTATCTCATAAGAGCCCAGATTTCGCACAATGGTTTGCAATATCCTTTTTCTTTTTTCTTTCGCAATGCAATAAAAAACCAAGTGAGGTGTTCAGCCTAAGATCCAGCATTGCAACATGAAGACAGGAATCAATCCCAGACAGAAGACAAAGAGTGATCCAAGGATTTTGCATGTCCTTGTGTACTTTTCTCTGCCTATCTATAAATCATGTTGATGAGAGGTTCCATACTGCCTTGGATGCAGTGGGTGCCAACAGGCAGAATGAGGCATCGGCAGGTAATGGGCCCCGATCCTGCTCCTCTCTTTGTAGGGAAGAGCTGAGAGACAGGGAGCGGGTCCCTGATTCAACCCTGCCAGCGCTGTGAAAATGGGAAAATATGTCAAGCTCAGTTTATCATTTCCCCCCAATCTTAAATTTGGTTCTGTGCATTTTCAGATCGGCTTATGATCCTTATTTTTTAAAGTCCTCATGATAAATGTTGTGCAAGCATCCCTAATGCCATCCATTTTCACCAATATATCTATTTTTAAAATGCACCTTTCAATCCATTCTTGTACACATTAGTCTGGAGAACAAGACTGCAACTTTTGGAAGAAAACGAATTTCCAGAGGCGTTTGTGCATCAGTCTGTATATTGTGTCAGGAAGCGCAAGTTAAGTAAGTTTGATTTTCCATGGAAATGGAACTGAATACTTCCTCCATCCCTGTTGTTTAGTCGTTTAGTCTTGTCCGACTCTTTGTGACCTCCTGGACCAGAGCACGCCAGGCACTCCTGTCTTCCACTGCCTCCCGCAGTTTGGTCAAACTCATGCTGGTAGCTTCGAGAACACTGTCCCACCATCTCATCCTCTGTCGTCCCCTTCTCCTTGTGCCCTCCATCTTTCCCAACATCAGGGTCTTTTCCAGGGAGTCTTCTCTTCTCATGAGGTAGCCAAAGTCTTGGAGCCTCAGCTTCAGGATCTGTCCTTCCACTGAGCACTCAGGGCTGATTTCCTTCAGAATGGAGAGATTTGCTCTTCTTGCAGTCCATGGGACTCTCAAGAGTCTCCTCCAGTGCCAGAATTCAAAAGAATCAATTCTTCGGCGATCAGCCTTCTTTATGGTCCAGCTCTTACTTCCATACATCACTACTGGGAAAACCATAGCTTTAACTATACAGACCTTTGTTGGCAAGGTGATGTCTCTGCTTTTTAAGATGCTGTCTAGCCTGAGCAACAAGCGGCTGGTCGGCCTTGTGGAGCCCCAGAGCATCTCCCTGTTGCATCAGGCTCCTGAAACGCCTCTCCGTCCTTCCTGCCTGTCTTCAGTCCGAGGCAGACCGGAGAGAAGAGGAAAGAAAGATGATCAAGTGCCTAATGTACACCTCAGGGGAGAGTGATGGAGCTGCGCTTGCTCGTAATGGGTGGCAAATCGTTGGGCAATGAGTGCCAGAGCTATTAAACAGGGACTCGCCAGTGAGCAGGAAGGACGTTAATGGTCCCCGAGGCTCCTCTCTGCACCGGCAATTTGGGCTTCCGACAACACAGTGGAGCTGAGCACAAAAGCAACCGTGTCAAAGGGATTCCTTTCAGATCACTGAAAGGAGCGCAAGGCAAGCAATCCAGAGATGATGCAAAGCCTGCTTCCTCCTGCACATTCCTTCTCCTTGCCCCAAGGCATATCAGAAGAGCCTGGTGGATCAGGCCCATGGCCCACCTAGCTCAGCATCCTGCTCTCACAGGGGTCAACCACGTGCCAGCGGGGAACCAGCAAGGAGGATGCAAACACAAAAGGAACCTCCCCTCCTGGGGTCTCCAGCAACTGCCATTCAGAAGAAATGTTGCCTCCAACATTGTTGCCTCATGAAAGGTAATAATAATAATAATAATTTATTATTTGTACCCCACCCATCTGGCTGGGCCTCCCCAGCCACTCTGGGCGGCTTCCAACAAAGATGAAAAATACATCAAAATGTCACACAGGGCTGCCTTCAGATGTCTTCTAAACGTCAGGTAGTTGTTCTTCTCTTTGACATCTGGTGGTAGGGCGTTCCACAGGGCGGGTGCCACCACCAAGAAGGCCCTCTGCCTGGTTCCCCGTAACTTGGCTTCTCACAGTGAGGGAACCGCCAGAAGGCCCTCAGACCTGGAACTCAGTGTCTGGGCTGAACGATGGGGGTGGAGATGCTCCTTCGGGTATACTGGACCAAGGCCATTTAGGGCTTTCAAGGTCAGCACCAACACTTTGAATTGTGCTCAGAAACGTACTGGGAGCCAATGCAGATCTCTCAGGACCAGTGTTATGTGGTCCTGGCGGCCGCTCCCAGTCACCAGTCTAGCTGCCGCATTCTGGATTAGTTGCAATTTCTGGGTCATCTTCAAAGGTAGCCCCACATAGAGCGCATTGCAGTTGTCCAAGCGGGAGATAACCAGAGAATGCGGGCAGGGAGGGTCTCAGCCTGCGTACCAGATGGAGCTGGTAGACAGCTGCCCTGGACACAGAATTGACCTGCACCTCCATGGACAGCTGAGAGTCCAAAATGACTCCCAGGTTGTGCACCAGGTCCTTCAGGGGCACAGTTACCTCATTCAGGACCAGGGAGTCCTCCACACCAGCCCACCTCCTGTCCCCCAAGAATGGTACTTCTGTCTTGTCAGGATTCAACCTCAATGGTAGTAATCAATACTCTTTACCCAAGGGATGCGGGTGGTGCTGTGGTCTAAACCACTGAACCTCTTGGGCTTGCCGATCAGAAGGTTGGTGGTTCGAATCCCCACAACGGAGTGAGCTCCCATTGCTCTGTCCCAGCTCCTGCCAACCTAGCAGTTCGAAAGCACGCCAGCACAAGTAGATAAATAGGGACCACTGCGGCGGGAAGGGAAATGGCGTTTCCATGCACTCTGGTTTCCGTCACGGTGTCCCGTTGTGCTAGTAGCGGTTTAGTCCTGCTGGCCACATGACCTAGAAAGCTGTCTGTGGACAAACGCTGGCTCCCTCGGCCTGAAAGGGAGATGAGCGCCGCAACCCCACAGTCGCCTTTGACTGGACTTAACCATCCAGGGGTCCTTTACCTTTTTTTCTTTTATTTATCCTTCCCACCCACAAATTTGTCTAAATTGCATCCTAAATGCGCAAGTCCTTCCTATACACACATGCAGGATGCCTTCCAACATTTCTCCAGTGAAAATAGGGATGTCCTAAAGAACGGCTCAGGACTGCAATACCTCAAGGACCACCCTTTTCGATATGAACCTACCCGGACCCTGAGATCATCTTCTGTGCCCTCTCCTCAAGAGGTCCGGAGGGTGGCAACACGAAAACGGGGCCTTCTCTGCAGTGGCTCCCTGTCTATGGAATGCTGCCCCAGAGAAGTTCGCTTGGCGCCTTCATTATACACCTTTAGGCGCCAGGCAAAAACATTCCTTTTTAACCAGGCCTTTGCCTGACCTGATTGACGTCCTATACCCTTTTAAAATGTGGCTCTTTGGGAGGGGAGGGGTATTATTGGCTTATTGTTTTTATTTTGATTTTATATATTGTGATCTTTTCTGTGAACCACCCTGAGACCTCCAGGTAAAAGGTGGTATACAAATTCTAATAGTAATAATAAAATAATAATAATAATAATAATAATAATAATAATAATAATAATCAGATCATTCTAGGATCAAATCAGAAACCGGGACAGCTCCTGTAAATCCGGGACTGTTCCTGGAAAATAGGGACATTTGGAGTCTCTCTCTCTCTCTCTATCACACACACACACACACACACACACACCTCTACACACAATTACTACAACATGCTCTCAATGCGCGCACACACTGCTTTTCCTCCATCACAAAGTGACCACTGCCTGCCCACATTGATCAGCAATGGAGGGAGGTGGCTCATCTTTTGCACCCAAGAGAGAAGGCACCTGTTCTGCATTTTCATGCGCTGGAGTGCGCACTGCAGCCTTGGCATCATGGCAATCCTGGAAGTGGGGTTGTGGGGGCAAAGCCTTTGTCCCCTGCCCCATCCTGGCCTGCCAGCCCTAGACGGAGCAGTACGGGGGAAGCCTACCTGTCACTAGAAAGGTACATCTCCCGGCCCCCGCCTCGTTGATGATGTTGCAGTTGTAAATCCCATAGCTGTCTCTGGAAAGGCTCCGGATCGTGTACTCGGTGGAGTCCTGGGCGTCAAACTGCCCCGTCCGAAGGAGTTTGTTGCCCAGCCGCCACTCGAAGGTCAAGACGCGGGTGGGGTAAGCCCTCAGAACACGGCAGGTCATGGTGACACTTCGGCCTTGGCCCTGACGGATCTCCAGGAAGGTCGGCTCCACTGCTGGAGGATCTGCAAGAAGCAGGAGAGGAGAGGGGATTGCAACTGGTTTCCTTCAGTGAACCACACCGGCTGTGATGCTGGAGACCGTTTTGCTAGGTCAGAACCCACAAAAAGCAGAGTCGCCAGGCCTATAAACTAGTTGGTAATATCCAAGGCAACACGATGACCAAATTCAATGATATGATATCAATATATACTCTTTATATAATATGAAATATATGAAATCACATAAACAGAAAACTTAGGAATCCCTGAAAGTCACAAAATAAGCTCTCTTAATGGATTCTCTTGAAAACATAAAACCAAATAAACATAAGTCTTATAAGTCTCGGAAAGTCTTTGAAGACTATGCAAGTCTCTGAAAGAAGCAATGTATCAGATTTTTATCTGGCAAAAACAGGCTGTAAAGCTTTGTTTATGGCGTCCGACGATGCCGAAGTAGTTCGCAAACAGACGTTGTGAACAGTGATTCTGGATATACCCACTGTTTCGTGGAATTCTTCTTCAGCACAGCAGAAGGATACAGAAATGCTTCACAACTCATCTATATGGTGAATGAAAATGTATAAGTATATAATATGCCTTGGATATTACTGACTATTGTTTGCAACACAGGGGTTAAATTGTTAGGCCCCTCAACTGCACAGAGGCCTGCCCTCACCTTAGCTTTACACACAAGTAGACATTAAGTCACATAGCAAGCGGAGCTGCAACCGGGTAACTTAGCAACAACCTTATCAGACAGAGCAATCCCAGGCACAGAGGAAGCATCAAGGCTGTAAACACATCAGCAAATATCTTCAATCATCAGAAGATCTCCTGGCTCTGTTTTTACAACATTCCCCCCACCCAACAAGGATTTAACAGTTTCTTTTCACTACTAACTTGCTAAGCACTGGACAGCTGTCATGAAATTAAAAGACGCCTGCTTCTTGGGAGAAAAGCAATGACAAACCTAGGCAGCATCTTAAAAAGCAGAGACATCACCTTGCCAACAAAGGTCCATATAGTTAAAGGTATGGTTTTCCCAGTAGTGATGTATGGAAGTGAGAGCTGGAACACAAAGAAGACTGATCGCCAAAGAATGGATGCTTTTGAATTATGGTGCTGGAGGAGACTCTTGAGAGTCCCATGGACTACAAGAAGATCCAACCTCTCCATTCTTAAGGAAATCAGCCCTGAGTGCTCACTGGAAGGACAGATCCTGAAGCTGAGGCTCCAAGACTTTGGCCACCTCATGAGAAGAGAAGACTCCCTGGAAAAGACCCTGATGTTGGGAAAGATGGAGGGCACAAGGAGAAGGGGACAACAGAGGACGAGATGGTGGGACAGTACAGTGTTCTCAAAGCTACCAACATGAGTTTGACCAAACTGCAGGAGGCAGTGGAAGACAGGAGGGCCTGGCGTGCTCTGGTCCAGGGGGTCACAAAGAGTCGGACATGACTAAACAACAACAAAGCACTGGAAGGCTGACCATATACCAACTAGAGAAGAAGGGCTACAAAAGCTGAGTGAGGACTTGGAACTCGCTAAGTTGACGGAAGCCTTAAGGAACAAGCCAAATAAATAGTCCAGAAGTAATGGGGCTGCCTAAATACCTACATATTGGAGTCAAGGTTCAACAACCAAGATTTGGTTGTGTTTAGAATAAACCTGTAAGCTTGGGAAAATGTCTCCTTGTACCAAGATGAGGAATATATTGAAATACAGAGAAATTGTTCTAGCTATAGGAAATGAACCACCGCGAGGTCAATGGAAGTAAAAAAACCAACAGTATAATAAAAAAGTGATCCACCCCAGAAGGGTCAGCATCTCGGTAGAGAAATGACATTATGGGATGTCTATTATAGTTAGCTTGTACTATACTTATGTTCTTACTTTTTGTGTTGCGTTTTTTGTTGCATCAATTAAGTGTTTTAAATTTGTTGTTAGCCGCCCTGAGCCCAGTTTTCTGAACCAGGAAGGGCGGGTATAAATAAAAATTTATTTTTATTTATTATTATGTTTTCTTTTTTCTTTTTCTTTTTTCTGTTTCTTTTCTTCCCCCTTTTTTGTATTCAGTTGAAATGTTTGTATACTTTGTTTCATTTGTATTTGCATAATAATTCAATTATATATGTGTGTGTGTATGTGTGTGTATGTATGTATATACCCTTATTTTTTGCTCTATAAGACTCACTTTTTCCCTCCTAAAAAGTAAGGGGAAATGTGTGTGCGTCTTATGGAGTGAATGCAGGCTGCGCAGCTATCCCAGATGCCAGAACAGCAAGAGGGATCACTGCTTTCGCTGCGCAGCGATCCCTCTTGTTGTTCTGGCTTCTGAGATTCAGAATTTTTTTTTCTTGTTTTCCTCCTCCAAAAATCAGGTCCGTCTTATGGTCTGGTGCGTCTTATAGAGCGAAAAATACAGTATATATATTTTAAAAAACCAGTTTCTTCTCACTGTCTGTAAGCTGTCATTATTCCAGGTGGGGCTCAAACTAAGGATTCAAATTGCAAGGCAGGAGATTCCAACTAACTATTAGGAAGAACTTTCTGGCAGTAGGAGCCCCAGGTAGGAATCACAATTAAGAACCCCTGGCAGATGACCCCCCCCCAACCTCAGCTTAAAAGTCTTGAGTGAAAGATGGCCCACCACCTTCTGAGGAAGTCCATTCCACTGTTGAACAGCTCTTACCATCAGAAAGATCTTCCTAATATTATGTCAGAATCACCTTTCCTCTCCTTTGAATCCATTGCTTCCTACCCTCTGGAACAGAAGAAAACAAACTTGCTCCATTCTCCATATGACAGCCCTTGAGACGTTTGAAGATGGCCCTCATCTCTCCTCTCAATCCTTTCTTTCCCAGGCTAAACATACCTAATTCCCTCAACCGTTGCTCATCAGGCTTTATTTTTAGACCTTTTAATAACTTGGTCACCCTCCTCTGCCCATGTTCCAGCTTGCCAGGATCATCTTTAAATTGTGGTGCTCAGAAGTGGACTCCAGGTGTGGTCTGACCAAGGTAGAATAGAGTGGGACTATTCCTTCCCTTGATCCAGATGCTAGACTTCTGTTGATGCAGCTTAGAATAGCATTTTTTGCTGCATTTTTTGCTGCCATTAAGCTTGTGGTCTATTATGGCCACACTGCCACTCGTCCTGTGCCTAGAAAGTACTGGTTCTGAGCCGTTTTCATCTTGCCCCTCTCCTCTCCCAGGGAAAACCCACTCTTTAGTGCTAATTCAGAGCAAATGTCCATCTGGTGAAAACTTGCATTGCTGTTTGCTCCGATTGAGTACTAAAGAGCAGTTTTCCCTGGGGGGAAGCAGCAGGTCAAGTGGGAATGTGGATAAGGCCTAAGACTCTGAGATGCTTTTCCTGTGTACTCCTGTCAAGCTAGGTGTGTCCTCCATCCTACCTGTGTGCATCTGGTTGCTTGTGCCTAAGTGCTGAACAACAAATAAATGACAGAAGGGACATTCCCAATTTTGCACATCCCCCAGCAACGACCCAAACATCCTTTGTGACCATCGTCCTTAGCCTATGGTTACCAGACGTCCCCGTTTCCCGGGGACAGTCCCCGGATTTACAAATCTGTCCCTGGACAAAATCCGTCCCCAGAATGTCCCCGGATTTCATTTAATGTCCCCGGATTTATATTTTAAGTGTTGTAGATTTATTAATAGGGAATGAATGTTGTGTGATTGGTTCAACGGCACAAGACACAACATATAGGGACTTCCGGAGCGGCAAAATAGCGGGTGCCATGGCAGCGAGCAGCTCCTGATGCCACCCAGAGCCAACTGCGCTACCAGGCTGGCTCCAGGCTGCTGAGACTGCGGCTGCCAAGGGGGAACCGGGAACACCCGGCGTGTCAACTGCAAAAACCACTGACAACCCCCCCCCCCATGACTCAAATTGAGCCGGGAGCGAGAGCGCCTGGCCACCCGCCACCAGCGGCGCTCCAGGGCTAGTAAAAACCCCAGAGCCAAAACAGGGAGAAGCAGGAAAGGGGAAGGAGAAGGAAGAGGGAGAAGGAGGAAGGAGAAAAAAGAGGGGAGCCCCAACCTTGCCACGCCGCTGCAGCTGCCACCACTGAGGAGGAGAGGTAGGAGAGCGCTGGGAGGGCAAGGACACATGGCTGAGCCCAGGCCTGACCCGAGCCTATTCCAAGGCAGATAGCGCTCCAGGAGATCAGGCTGGAGCCCAGAGGAAGACCGCGCGACAGAGGAGACCCAGAAGAGAAGACATTGCTTCTTAATTTTTTAAAAAAATGATTTTTAAAAAATAACTTTTTTTTCTCTTTTCAAAAAAGAAAAGTGTCCCTGGATTCTTTGAAAAAAAAAAATCTGGTACCCTTAAATCATTTCCTTAACAACTATTTAAACAATTTATTGAACTAAAACAATAACATTATAGCATATGTATCCATGTTTGTTAACTGATGTGGTTAAACATTCCCTCCCCCCCCCAAAAAAAACCTTAGACTGAGTTTTACCACACATGAAAACTTAAAACAAATCCTTATTTCCTTATTAGCCTTTGGACTATAATGTAACTTAGTATTTAAGTGCGAATTTAATGAAATTTTTCACTGGAACGCAGGACATAAGAAGCATAACATTTGGAAAAATGAGCAACCTGGTATTTTTTTCTTGTGATCTCCCATGAAGCCTTGTGATGAAGGACGGCCTATAAATCTAATAAAGAAAATAGTAAGGGCACAAAAAGAGCTTTGGGCTGGATCCTTCCCCACTGTCAAAAGCTCGGGATTGGGGTTTGCTTTCAGGGAAGAAAAATTACCAAGATATCTTTAGCCTTGAAAAAAAGACTACGATTCTGAATACCAGTTTCTGAGAAGCACAATTTGGATGTTTGTGCTTTGTGGCACCTGGCTGGCCAAAGGGAGAACAAGATGTTACACAAGATGGGCTCCATTTGTCCTGATCCACCTACAGGGCTTATCTTCTCCTCTTAACAAGAAAGTTCGCTCTGTAGATTTGTTGCCAAAGATGAGGCAAGAATGTTTGGAGGAGCCAAACAGAGACATGAAGGAAGACAGATGCTTGCTAAATATCTTCGCAGAAGCTTACGAAAAGCTTGGCCTATCATTCAAAATCCAAAAAACCAAAGTGCTGCACCAACAAGCACAAAACAACCCCTCTGCAGCGCCACAAATCCAACTCAATGGTGTAACGTTGGAAAGTTTCAATCACTTCTCCTACCTGGACAGCTATCTTTCCACAAGGGTTGACACTGATGCCAAAATCCAGCGTCGCCTGAGCTCTGCAAGTGTGGCTTTCTCCCGATTGAACTGCAGAGTTTTTGAAGACCAGGACATTCTCAGGGAAACCAAAATGCTTGTTTACAAAGCTATTGTACTACCAACCTTACTGTACGCTTGTGAAACATGGACCACTTATAAACCCCATCTCCAACTCCACCAAAGATTCCATCAATTGTGTCTCTGAAAATTTTTACACATCACTTGGGAAGATAGGCAAACTAATATCAGTGTACTGGAAGAAGCAAAGATCACCCGTGTCGAAGCAATGATTCTTCCACATCAACTTCGTTGGACTGGTCATGTTGTGCGGATGCCTGATGATCGTCTTCCAAAGCAGCTACTCTATTCCAAACTTAAAATGGAAAGCGGAATGCTGGTGGTCAACAAAAGAGATTTAAAGACTCTCAAGGAAAATCTAAAAAAGTGTAGTATAAACACCAGCTGGGAAACACTGGACTGTGAGCGCTCCAGTTGGAGAACAGCCTTTATCAAAGGTGTCATGGGCTTTGAAGACACTCAAACTCAGGATGCAAGGGAGAAAAGTGCTAAGAGGAAGTCACACTTGGCAAATCCACACCGTGATCAACTCCCACCCGGAAACCAATGTCCCGAATGTGGAAGGACATGTGGATCCAGAACTGGCCTCCAGTCACTTATGGACTCACTGTTAAAACCGTGTTCATGGAAGACAATCTTACTCGGCTATGAGGGATCGCAGAAGAAAAAATCCTATTGCTCCCAATCTGACGCTGAGCGAGGTGATGCCACAGATCCCAGCTTCTGGTTTCCTTGCACTTGAAAGATAATAGCAGGTGAGGGGAGACCTTCCTCCTGCCCCCTCCTGCAAGGAGATTGCCATGGTTTTGACTTCTCGGCTGCCGATTCCTCAGGCAGCAGAACAATTTGCAAGCTGCTTCAATCAAGGATTGCAAACAGCAGCCCCTGAAATCAGCACCGGCTTTAGGAAGGCTGTCAAAGGGCTGTTTCACAGCAGATCCGCCGGGCGGGCTCCTGGCAGACAGGTTGCTGGGAACAATCAGAACCTCACCTACAATTAATGTTGAGGCTTCTTGACGTGAGTCTCCTCCTCCTCTCCGTGCCTCTGCTTCCCAGTGGTGCAATGTGAATCCTGGCAACAGACCTGCCTCCCAATGAAGATGGCCATAGAGTGCCAAAAACCAAGCTTCAATTAAGCCTAAATATAAGGGAGGAAGAACCCTGCTGGGTCAGGATAGTGTCCCATCTAGTCATAGAATCGTGGGGTGGGAAGGGACCTTGAGGGTCATCTAGCCCAACCCCCTGCAATGCAGGAATCTCAGCTAAAGTCTTGCATCCTGTTCTCACAGTGTCCTAGCAGATGCGTCTTTTGGCAAGCCCCCAGACAGGAGCTGAGCACAAGAACCTTCTCCCTTCCTGCTGCTTTATTAATTGTTATTTTATTTATTAGTTTCATATACTGCTGAGGGTCACAGGGTGGTTTCCAAAATAACGGTGTTCAGAAGCATTGCTGTGGAGGCAGAGCACAGCCCTGGCGGCTAGGAGATATCAATGGCCATCGGCAGCCCTCTCCTCCTCCAGGAATTGAAATTGATTGAAATTGAAATACTTTATTGTCACTTGTACAACTTGTATACAGTGAGATTACACGAGCACCCCCCACTCAGCTATCTTAGTCTTAATTCCCCTCGTTTACTGACGCACACCCACCACACCCAAAAGTCTGTTGCCCTCTTGTTATCTTTTCATTCAGCAGCCTAACAGCCCACAGATAGAAGCTGTTTTTTACCCTGTTGGTGCGACTAATCCTGCTTCTATACTGTCTGCCCGAGGGCAGGAGATCAAGAAAGTGCCGGCCAGGGTGTGACTCATCCCTGAGAATTTTCCTCACTCTCCTGAGGCAACGTTCTTCCGCTATTTCATCCAGCGGATTCACGGGACAGCCCATAATATCTTGTGCTGTATTCACCACTCTCTGTAGGCACTTCCTATCCGTAAAATCCTCTTTTAAAGCCACCCAAACAAAGAAAAAATGGGAGGCTATGTACTCTCTGCAGGGGCGTAGCATCGGGGGGCGAGGGGGGACAATCCGCTTAAAACCCCAACTGACGTTTGTTCCGATTGAACGATACGGGGTCAAAAAAACGCCCTGCTTGGATACATAAGCCATTGGCAGGGTTTGAAAGAGCATTAGACCAATTCCTAGAGGAAAGGGCTATCGATGGCTGCTAGCACAGATGACTCTCTTCTGCATCTACAGTTGGTGGCAACGAAACTTCTAGAAGGTGCAGGTCAATTCTGTGTCCAGGGCAGCTGCCTACCAGCTCCATCTGGTACACAGGCTGAGACCCTCCCTGCCCGCGGACTGTCTTGCCAGAGTGGTGCATGCTCTAGTTATCTCCTGCTTGGACTACTGCAATGCGCTCTATGTGGGGCTACCTTTGAAGGTCACCCGGAAACTACAACTAATCCAGAATGCGGCAGCTAGACTGGTGGCTGGGAGCCGCTGTCGAGACCACATAACACCGGTCTTGAAAGACCTCCATTGGCTCCCAGTACGTTTCCGAGCACAATTCAAAGTGTTGGTACTGACCTTTAAAGCCCTAAATGGCCTTCGCCCAGTATACACTGAGGTCCAGCGCCGAGGGCCTTCTGGTGGTTCCCTCGCTGCGAGAAGCCAAGTTGCAGGGAACCAGGAAGAGGACCTTCTCAGTAGTGGCACCTGCCCTGTGGAACACCCTCCCACCAGATGTCAAAGAGAAAAGCAACTACCAAACTTTTAGAAGACATCTGAAGGCAGCCCTGTTTAGGGAAGCTTTTAATGTTATTGTATTTGAGTGGTTTGTTGGAAGCCGCCTAGAGTGGCTGCGGAAACCCAGCCAGATGGGCGCGGTATAAATAATAATAATAATAATAATAATAATAATAATAATATATTATATTAATATTATATTATAATTTATAATAATAATAAGTTATATTGCATATATATAATTATATATATAATAAATTATATATAATAATAAATTATAATTAAATATAATAATAAATTATAATTAAATATAATTAAATAATAAATTATAATAAAATAAAATAATAATAATAATAATAATAATAATAATAATAATAATAATAATTTATATC